TTCCAATCCAAGACCAAAGAGTAGTTTGGCGTATTTTTCCACTCTCAGTGAATTGATCTTCATCAAGCGGAGACTCAAGCATTGCTTTCACGTAGATGGTATAAGCCTTGTGCTGTAAGTCAGTTAACGGGACCGTAATAATGAACTCTATCTTCGGTTTCAAGTCGTTTTTCAAGACTGATGAATCGGCCCTGTTGACCTTGGGGGAAATATCTTCCTTCAAGACTTCTAGCATCTTCAACGCCCGTCGACGTTCAGCAATCGTACTGTTTCCGTAGAGGCCCTCTTGAATAGGCTCGACAAATTTCGCGCGGAATTCACCGATAGGGCCGAGGTAATTGGGTGCGATCCATTCAATCATCGAATGGTACTCCTCAACATTGTTGGAAAGGGGTGACCCAGTCAATGCGATGCGGCTTTTCGATTTGAATCGAGTCGCAGCGATGGTAAGCGCAGAATTTGTATTTCTAAGCTTGTGAGCTTCGTCGGCAATGATGATATTTGGCCCTTTGAGGAGTTGTTCTTCTACGACTTCGAAAGTAGCCTGGTCTATGATCGGTTTTTTGTCCTCTTTTGGACCCATGTTCAGCATATTTCTAAACATTTCAAAGCCGAGAAGAAGAATGCCCCCATTTTTATACCACAAGTCAATTTCGGCCAAGCGCTGCTCAATCTTCATATTGGAGTCGACCTTTCGAAACCTCCCAATTTTCGGGCCCACATCTTTTTCTGGCACCCAAGTGAGCAGCTCGTCCATCCAGTTATCCATGAGTCCAGGTGGGGAGAGTATCAGAGTTCTTGAGCGCTTTAGCTTTTCGGGAATCTGGGAAGACACAGACGAGTCTTCGGAGCATGCAGCCTCGGCGATGGCAACGAGTAATGTAATGACTTGCATTGTTTTTCCCAAGCCCATTGTATGAGCCAGGAGACATCCCTGCGATGCGCCGCCTTTTGAGACAATCTGGCTCCACATAAATCGGACGCCATCAATCTGATGGTTTTTGATCCGGCTGCCAATATGGTCGTGGACAAAAATGAAGCCTTCCTGTTCAAACTTTGACTCATTGATAATGATTTTTGCTCGATCTGAATTTAGTGACGAACCAGTTTGGGCCAATTTTTTACGAAGAATTTGGCGGCGACCTTCTTGCTCTTGTAGTCGCATCTGGTCGTCTTCTCTTAACTTGCGGGCCTCAACGTTCTCGAAGATTTTACGTTGGCGTTTTCTAGGGGTTTTCAGCTGTTCTTCATCACTAAGAATGGGGCGTGTGACTAGACTTCTTTTTGTGCGCAACAATGGCTCTTCGTCGTCGTCGTCGTCGTAAGCTAAATGAGCCGTTACATCGACATACGCCTCTACCGCCACAAGACATACTCGAGTAAAGGGCCCAAACTTCGGTGTATTGTCTATTAGCTTCTGACAGGTTTTTGGCGCCAGGCGATCTTTTCTGTTTTTTTTTTTTTTGCAATCGACATACATTTCGAAAAGCCTGATCACACCCGTGAAGATACGGAAAGTCTTCGGGTCCATTCCTCTAAGCCTATCTTTTCCGTCACGGCATTCTCGCATAACATCGATAGTCTGGGTCCAAAGTTCATCTGGACTGTGAGCAGAGAGTAATTCGGAAATGCTTGTTCTTGCTTCTTTAGGCATATTGTGGAGAACCGCAATCACTAGGCGTGCCGGGTCGTTTTCTTCCTCCCACGCCTTATAACCATATGAGGCGATGACGGCTGGTTTATCATATGGAATGTCTTTTGGCGGTTTATTCACTACCAGTGATTTTTCAGCATCTGATTGGACACCAGACTCCGAAGCTCGGCTTCCCTCTATATTGGAAGATCTGGCTTTCAGAGTATTGCTTCCTAATGAGGACACACCCACAGCAGTCTTCCGCCGGGATTTGGATGGAGTGACGAGATCGATGATTTCTGGAGAATCTGAGAGGAAAGTCAAATCGACAAAGTTGGCAGAGCTTTCATCCACAGACGTGCCATGCCGGAGGCGCGACGAGGCTGGGGTCTGCGAGGACGACAACGGGGAGCTGGGAGGCAAATTTTGACGGGACAGCTTGTGGTCGATATCGCTGACCTTATCAACAGTCGGGGTATCGTCCACAGCACCGCATTCAACAGACGGAGCGAGGTCTCCATAGTTTTGAACACGACGTGAAGTCACCTTTTTGATGCTCCTCCGAAATTTCGAATCATCAGACCCTGTGACTAGCTCATTCGCGTCACTGCACTCACTTTCTTCGTCACTGACAATAAACCCTTCCATTTCATCGCCAGAACTTGCTGAATCGCTCTCAGTATCGATAATCTCTTCATCGGCTCCCAAGTCAAGATGTTGGACCTTCGTTTTTTTAGATTTCGGAGCAGGCAAATTTGGTGGAGATGGCTTCGCGGGTGCTTTCGTCTGTTCCAGAACTGATATTTGCCACAGAAGGTCTTCGCGGTCGAAAATGCTCTGTTCCATAATTTGGCACTGCCTATGAACTTGCTTCTGCGTAGTCCACTGGTCATTTAGAATTTCTTGGCGCATTTTGACCAGTCTGTCATTCACAATCCGGTCAAGGTGTTGCTGGGCCGCATTAATTTTCTCTCTCTTGGCATTGCGCGTTCGAGACTTTTGCCAAATACTCCACGCTTTCGGCTGCCGTTTAGGAAGCTGCTCGTTGTGCCATTTGGTATGAAGCAGAGCCATGCCCTGATCAAGTGCCTCACTGACTTCCTCACTGGTTAGAGGGTGCCTCTTTGATACAATCGAGTCTTTTTCTTGAGGCCCTCGTTCCTCCTCAATCTCACGCCAAGTCTCAATATCATATTCACCATCCTCATCAGATTCACCAAAAATCGGAAGCACTTTATCTCCTCCATCAATGTGGCGATATTTCTCGAGCGCGACCTCTGGATCCCAATTGTCATACGACGTTGGACCACCCAAGGCCATGTTTTCTGGCAAATTGAAACTTAAAAACCGCTCGCCCTCGTCACCATTAATTGACGCCGATTGTTTTTGTTGTTCCAAATTCAACTCAGGCCATGATGTTAGATCTTCTCTCGTAGTTATAACGTCGCCATTTGGTGTTGTATGAAATAGCGAGAATGAAGGAGTTTGGAACCTCGGCTTTAGTCTTGAAGGATAGGGGATCACCGCCGTGAAGCCCTTCCCATGTCGGCGAAAGTCGACAGCTTGCGAACGTAGAAGAAAGTTCATCCTTTTGTTGACATATAGACGTCGGCCCGTTGATATATCTGCGTATGACTGGCAAAAGTCGCCGTCGCCGCCATCTGCCAAAGGAACTTCTTTTCCGACCGGGACTCCAGAATAAAAAATACTGTCCACGGCTAGACTTTTCTTGCCAAGATAACCATCTGCTAGGCTTGCAGTAGACTTTTGTAAGCGGTTCTTTGACTCGGCTTCATGTGCCAGCTTCCTAGCTGCCTCGAGAGCGTTAACTCCACCCGATATCATGGAAGAGCCAGGCGCAGCCGGCTCAGGTGGGCGGAATATATGTGGAATTATCCCGTCGTGGCCTGGTTGGGGTACTGGGACCATGCGCTTCTTCCCATCGTCACCCGTAAATACAACTCCTGGTTCCAAATTTTGAGGGTCATAAATCCGAACGTTGTCTGCAGCAGTTGGGATCTCTCTGTGACGCTCTGGATCGATGGATTGGGAGAGTAACGTTGGCGCCAGACGCTTTATTTTATTTCTATTGCCAATTGCAGCCAGTCCTTCGGAATGCAACTGTGATCGACCACCGTCATCGGCGTCAACAGAAGGTGGTACAGGGCCATTTTGAGCAACAATCGGCTCGGGCGTATGGGACCTCAAATTTACCTGGGGGGGTTCCTTTGTAGTTATCTGGCTTTCACCATGGATTTCCGGCAACACACCATCCTCCGTAGGCAAACGGGTATAAGCCTTGCTTGTGGTGACAGATCTTTCGGATTCTCTGAAATCTCCACCATCGAGTCTCGACTGTAGTCCATGTTGCTGCACGAAATGAGCGTATTGCTGACTCTTTCCTCGGAAGTGAGATATCGCATGAAGTATTGTAGCCCGGTATTTTATAGAACGAGGGCCTACAAGGCCAAAGTCATCTCTCAATGTCTGATGGGTGATCTCAGTCAATAACCAAGGGCCATCTATTTCATGTTCGCGCAAGTTGATCTCGAGTTGTTTTGCATCAGGTAAGAGTTGTGTTGCAAACAGAGGAGGCCAAGTTCGATTCTCTGTGCATAGCTCCTGGACAACTCGATCAGTGTCCCATGTCCATGGATCTTCCTCGTCCATGGTGGACTGTGTGTCGGTGAACTCGTTGTGTGAGCATGTGTCCGATTGCTGTGGTGATTTAATGGATGTGAGCCAGTTCGATACGGCTCGCCGACTCTGGCCTATTATATCAACATCATTAGCCATTTGGTCCAAAGCGTTTCAGTCAATAGTTTGATGTGGGGAGATCATTACCCATCATGCGCCAGGCTCAGGCGGATTGGATAGATCCTCGGGGGAACGAAAGAAGAAAGGTAAGGCTCACTTGTTTGTCTTGGACATGTAAATGAGACTAGAAGAAGTTCGTCGCAGGCATGGTCGACTTGAATGAGGGAAATTGTCAACGAAATCGAAACTGTGTGGAGGTTTCGCCTTGCTTGGTGTTCGTCGAGAAGGAGAGAGAAAACAACGTAAGAAAATAAAATAGAAAAGAAGGGAATCAATTCGAATTGAAGCGACTTCAAAGTGGCCTTCTAGGATAGTTGCTGGACAGAAATGTTGGAATGTAGAAAGGAAGATGAGTGGTTAATTTTTGGGTCGCGCCTTGTCGAACGTCCTTATCGCAATCTTTTGATCGCGTTGTCAGGTGCGATCGTGGGGTGTGATTCTGGCCGCTTCCGGGGCCACGGCATAAGTAGCCCCGTGTTTGAGGAAATATTTCAACCCCGCTTAGTCACGTTGCTTTACTTCTAAGCCTGGAATATATCTCACACAATTGATCCGTCTGATGACAAATGCATGCTATTTATTCATCTATTCACACAACATTACCTGGATTTCACTTCAATTTCACCTTGAAGTTATTTCCTTCAAATAATTGCTTTCCACTACATCTTAAAGAGAGCCGGGTTTTGTGCTGAGTTAAACGATGGTCTACAAATCATACCATCGAGAGCCGACGCCGGATCAAATCGCACATATTTCTGCGCTTATTAAAGACTGGTCAATTGCACATGGGCTGGCTGTGAGGCCTCCGCCGGCTCTTGTTGCATCGGAGTCAGACCCTCATGGCATTTTGGCAACAACTGCGCCAGTCACATTACTGCCCAGTCCATTTCCACAAGTCTGCTTTGAGCAGGCTAGCTCTGTTCAGACCGCATATAATGGGCTTTATGCTTCGATTTCTCGGGATGAGGGGTTTTTAGCCAGTATTGTAGAAGAGTAAGCCATTTTGAATTGAGTTCCGTTCCTTGTTGCTGAGAAGGTTGCTCTGGCCAAACCATATTCTTTCGGACAATTCGTTGGTTGGAAATTATACTTTTCACGGGTCCCGTCCTAACCTGAAGCAGGATTTTAGAGGTGGACGAATTCATTGCTGAACTTTGGAAAGTCCATCTCAAGGTGAAGGAAGAAGGATATACCCAGGTACCTTGCTTCTTATTTTCAAAATCGAAAAGATTCTAATTTGGCTGAAGAAACTTTCACTGGGGTTATTTCGCTCCGATTATATGGTACATCAGGATCTTGAAAGCTCAAATTCGACGCTGCATATCAAACAAGTCGAGTTTAACACCATAGCCTCATCTTTTGGTGGCCTCTCTTCTCAAACTTCAAAGTTGCACAGGTACGTTGGCTTTTTGCCCCCCCTTTCCCCAACATCTAGGGCCGTCCCTGACGGCGAGAAGATACTTGGCCCGAACTGCGTACGGTGATCTTGTTGACGATACCTTGAAAGATGGCCGTAATTTGCCCAAAAATGCAAGCACAGAGACGCTTAGCTCAGGGCTCCGTACAGCCTTCAAAGCCTACGGAGAGTCTGCCGCAAATCACCAGACTTGCATCCTCTTCGTTATCCAAGACCAAGAAAGAAATATATTCGACCAGCGACATCTAGAATATGATATTGAAATGAACTCTGACAGTGTACGGGTGTTCCGCCTTCCGTTCTCCAGAATATTAGCAGACACTACCTTGGAATCTACCACACGCCGCGAGCTTCTCTACCGGCCACCCCACTCACCTTCTGAAGTATATGAAGTGGCTGTCGTCTATTTCCGATCAGCCTACGGCCCATCGGACTATCCAGATCAGGCAGCATGGGAAGCACGCCTCCACATAGAGCGTTCAAATGCCATAAAGTGTCCCTCGATACTGACACAGCTTGCTGGCGCGAAGAAAGTTCAACAAGTCCTTGCTACTCCAGTTGAAAACCCTGCGACTTCCATCCTTTCGAAATTCATTCCCGATTCTATGACTCGTACCAGTCTTGAAGAAACGTTCACCAACATCTATCCTCTCGATCAAACTCCAGCCGGCCTCTCGGCCCGCGAGCTGGCACTGGACGAGAAAAAGTGCAAAGGATACGTGCTAAAACCACAGCGCGAGGGAGGCGGGAACAACATCTATCGCTCTGCCATCCCAGGGTTCCTTCGGTCCCTGCCGGAGTCTCACTGGAAGTCATACATTCTAATGGAGATTATCACGCCGCCACCAGCGCAGAACCTGATTTTACGTAACGGTGAGGTGGAGAAGGGAGGTGTCATATGCGAGCTAGGCGTGTATGGCACCTGCCTTTGGAACCAGGAAACTGGTAACATGCTGAGCAATGAGGGAGGAGGATACTTGCTCAGAACGAAGGGCGATCAGAGCGAAGAGGGTGGAGTGGCTGCTGGATTTGGTGCTATGGACAGTGTTTGGCTTAACTGAGCATGCCAGCCTGCTGCAAATGATCGATAGAATAGAACTACAATGATACAAATGGTTTATTGGATACTTTCCATCGTCATAATTCTAGCAGCACCTGAACTAAAATTAGCGTCTCAGCTAAAAAGATCCGGTCGATTTAAGGTTTCGGTGCCAACCGTCAGTGGTTGCTTCCACGAACTAAGCCCCTCGGGTCTCTTTTTGAGCCTCCTTAATCTCTATTCATGGAAAAGAAAGAACGACCGTGATTGCTCTTTCCCCTGCTCCTCAACTGAAGGGTATGGATGGAAGGGTCTTTCTCTCCCATTTAGATTTCGCTATCATTGAAGCATCCCACAACGGACATATCCCTTTGATATTCCACAGATCCTTTGCTCTCCATCTGCCGGCAAGGTACTGGCTGGAGTCTCCCAAATGTTAGCCACTCCACCGACCGAACTCCTTAAAATCCCATAAATCAAAAGGCGTCTCAAACCAGGTATCGTAGTTCGAGATGCGAACTAGACTGCAAGCGCCGCAATAGCTCAATTTAATAGTCATTTCAGACTCGACTCAGGCTCTACACGCCAGCTTTAGGCGCATACCGTTCTCATTGCTGCGAGGACCATCAGCTTTGGTATCATCTGTCTTGAATACCAGCTCACCCCCCTTTCCTCTTTCGCTCAAGCCATAAGTCCGGTCTACCGTTGGCGTCATTTAGCGTAGTCGAAATGGAAATATAGACCCCTTTGTCGGGGTCGTTATAGCCCAGTCTGAATGAGAATCCCGTAGTAGAAAGCCTGTGGGCAACTCTCAACTGTTCCTTTCTTCCTTCCTCACCCACAATTCGATATTCCGACGCAGTTTCTCAACAAGAGTCAACGCCATCAACAACTATCAAATCAGCAATACACTCCCTATACCCGCCTTTGAAGGCCCTGTAGTTGTTAGCCTCTCATTCTAATCGCCCTCATGATCGTGGCTTCAAAACATTCTCGCCCGGACCAGTGGCCCTCAGTTCGTCTCGCGCCGCTAGCCACTGTTAACTCCGGCACCTCCAGATTGGCATCGAGGCCAAGCCAAATGGATGTCCGTTACCTTTTAAACCCAGAAGTAACCCCAGAGTCCGAGCATGGGTCTAGGTTCGCTGGGCATCTGGAAGTCGTTTGCTCCCCCATCGCGCCGTCTTCGCAGTCTTCATCCCCGGGAGCAACATTCGGGCGCACGCCGCTCCCTGACGTGGCACCGGCTGTATTGACAGGCTCGACGAGTTCGCCTGACGTTCCTATTTCTGGATTAGATCACCTCGCGATGGCTGCATCTATGAGAAAGCCATCACCAAAGCACCACATGCAAGCTGGAAGCTACTCGGTGCCAGCTAAAAAGGTGACGAGAACATATATCGAGGAGGTTTTGACAGAACGGGGCCAATCAATGACGTCGCATGACATCTACAAGGCTATAATTGTCATCCCGAATGTAAAGCTCGCGCCCCAGAGCGTGCGTAAGGAACTGTCTCGCTTTACGTCGTCGTTTGAACCCCTCCGGGATTCGACATGGGCGCTGAAGAGCTGGGGATTGTCGGCTTGTAGAATGTCGCGCAGATTTGGCACTGGCGGGGGCACAAAGGAGGCGAGGCAAAGACGGGCGGCCAGGAAATAATTTATGATTTCGACAGATGGGTAAAGGAGTTTCGGCGTTTTGTTCGACTTTGTTTCTGTATATCGACCGACTGAGAGATGGATGGTGTGCCATGGAGCCCTTGGGAGAGCGGATTCGCAACCGGAAAAAAGGACACGGCCCAACTTCGACAACCACACAAGCGACTGCCACTGGACGACGCCGACACCATCTAACCGCATCTTGAAAACTAATATGCCTTTTGAAAAACTTGCTTCTTGGATATTGGAAAACGCACCGCGGAATCGTATTTTGAAATTTAACAAACAATAACCTCGGAAAAAAAACCTCGGAAAACAAACAAACAATCGCCAAAATATTTGCTTCATGTACTTTGGATAACACAACCTGTATTGCTTCTTGAAATTAACTTGCTCATTTGTAAACAAATTGTTTCTCCGCTTTGGGCGAACGCAACGCATTCATATTCCTTTGCATTTTAACAAATTCAGACAAAAAAAACACCCCCTCGGCCCCCTATTCTCCTCGTGGACAACGGCAAACACACACGCCAACCCGCCTTTGGACACTGGAAACAACAGCGAGCGCACCACCGATCCATATTGAGACCAGGCCATGGATGGCATCAGCAACATTGACACAAATTTGAAACTGGAAACGAACGCAATCGCATCGACAACTTCGACAACTTCGACAACTTCGACAACTTCGACAACTTCGACAACGCCTTAAAAAATCGAAGCCAGACGATAGGTACTAATACCAATAACCCGGATATACTTGTGCAATAAGTATAGTCAAGTGGAGGGATGGAAACGGTTTGACTGAAGAGGAGGAAAAGCTCATCACTTTCCTTACTTCTCCTATCCTTGTCAAGTTCCAGGACTACCTCAGCAAACCCTCTCGGCCTCCGACCAACCAGCTGGAAACTTTTCGGTTGGAACTGGTTCAGCATTTGCATTTCTTCTGGATATCTTTGAATGATTCTGCGTTTGTATTTTTTTTCTTTTGGTTTGTTTTTAAGGACTTCTGGTGTTCGGATTTTCCCCATGACGTCTCCCTCTCTGGGATGACTCGACTTCAATATCGGCTTGGGGTTTTATTTTGGATTTTGTCGGGCTGAAAGAGGACGGCGACCTTATCACATTCTTCGTCTCTCCTATTCTTGTCAAATCTTGGGGATTGTCTTTTTCCGTAGACTCTCACCCACCCCGACCAACCAACCAGTCAAAACTTTTTGGCTGGAAATGGTTCAGCGTTTGGATTTCACCAACCAGTCAGCACTTTCTTGGCTGAAGATGGTAAAGCGTTTGGATTTTCTTTTGGGCATCTTTGAAGACTCCCTATCAACCAATCAAGCGTTTTAGCTGGGAATGGTTCAGCGTTTGATTTCGACTTCAACTTCGACCCGGAATGTTTTGCGTGCATGTGCTGCGATAACGGCGGAATCGACAAAACGGTAATGAGGACAAGGGGATAAATACACGAAGGAAATGCACTGTCATTACAATGGGGTGTAAAAACTGCGCAGAAAATTGGAATCCTCCGCTCTGGTTAAAATTGTATTGTTAGTCCTATAATGTGTATTAGAGGACCAGAGTCAATGAAAGGATGTTTTCCACCAAAAAAAATGCAATTAGATCTGCGCGCGTTGTGAAGAGAAGTTGCGTGGCCAAGGCAGAATACAGAATGTAATGAAAGTTTTTATGATTGGTAGGTATTCCTTATACATACTCCCGCGCCGGGACTCGTCCATACCTTATATCATACACGTAAGGAAATGCTGCCGCCGCTGCCATGCTTATCCATCCATTCATCCTCTCTATACCGAGCCGGGGGTTTTGAGATGCATTATATTCCGCAGTCATCGTTCGCCATTTCCTCCTTCGCAAATCCTAGAGGGGAGATCTCCCGCGCATCCATCTCATCCTGCCCCCTTCCTCGTCGTCTCAACCATCTACTCCTCGGTCGAAGTCGGTCTCTTCAAGATCTCCACCGAGCCTACACCACGTCAGTAACCCCCCTCCTACCCCCCACACACCCAGAGTAACTCACGATGCACAACATTCAACGCCCTCCTCTCCTTCCCCTCAGCATCGGTATACTGATCCATCCTCGCGTCTCCCTCCACGTAAACCAACGTCCCCTTATCCAGCGCCAACAAAAAGTCCCTCCTCGCGCCCGCCTCAATGAAGGCAGCCACGTTCCACCAGCTCGTCTGCCTGTTGTCCCTGGGCCCGCTGCTCGTCGCCAGGCTGTACTTGACGATCTCGCTGCCGGTCGAGGTGGCCGTCAGCTCCGGCGCGCCGGCCAGGTGGCCGATGAGCTGGAGCTTGGCGAGGGGGCGGGCGGGGGTGGTGCTGAAGGCGCGGAGGGGGGTGGTGGCGAAGGCGCGCGGGACGCGGAGGATGGTGCGGGAGAACATGCTTGTGTGTAGGTGGTGGAGGTGGTGGTGGTGGGTTGATTTGCGGCGGTGGTTGATGGGTTGGTGGTGTTGTCGTCTCGATTGGGACGATTGGGCGGTGGAGAGGAGGTCACGTGGAACGGAGATGGTTGTTGGTGAGAGAGATGGCTGGGCGGTGGGGACGGAGATTGGGAGGGTCACGTGGACGGAGACGAATGAGGAGGAGCCGAGGATGATCGATGATCGCTTAGTGGACGGAGATTGTGAAGGGTCACGTGAGACACTGGGATTAATTTGTAAAAAAAGGCTGGGAACGATGTATCCGCATTCAGCCCCTATTCCCTATTTGTCCAGGCATCTTGGTGCTTTTCCTAGTGTAGTTCCCCTACAAAAGGCAGGACTGACTGTCTCTGGCTGGACCATTTATGGAACATTCAGCGGATTCTTTTTCGGGGTGATCACAAGTCCCCGAGATTTGAATGGCCGGAGTGATAGTTGTCGGTTTCAATATCAAATTCTCTGTACACCTCATTTCGCTTGCTCCCTTTAGCCCCTTTAGCCCCTTTAGCCCCTTTAGCCCCTTTAGCTGTACATTAGCCGTGCATTAGCTGCACAATAACTTTCCACGTTCCCTCTCCCTTGCCATACTCCACTCCCCCCTGCCATTTCCTATAGAATCGCCTTAAAATGCCATCTGTCATGGACGGCTAGATCACTCTGGTCGTCTACCTAGACTAGGTAGTCGGGGAAGGCACGCAATATTGGTTCCTGCCGCTCTTCCTAGCGCATCCGGATGTTCAGCTGAAGAAAAATGCGTGTCTTGCTGCTGTCTCACAGACTGGGTGCTGCTGTCTCACCACCGCTCCCCATTGCCGCTGTGTATCTCCAGATTGCTGTGCCGCCGCTGACTGAAGTAGAGTTAGATATTACTCTACACCAGTCTATCGCCGATTTTCGCACGGCTGACTGGTTACCTACTTGCCAGCAAGCGCCCCCCCATTCAGCCCACCACCGCACCGCTACAAGGGCCCATACACCATCCCTGCGTGCCTGAAAGCAGATCAAACTCTGCGTCAAACCACAAACCAAGCATTGTCATATGGTCATATCCTGCAATCGCTTTTGGATCGGATTTGGCCCTCTCCCCCCACCATGGAACTCCTGATGAACCGCTCCGTACCTTGCTTGCTACTGGACCACTTCCCAATGTCCCTCCCCAACATTTGTCAACTTCTTCTTCGCGCTACACTGACACTGACGTGTTGATTCTGTCCCTCGTTTCAGTGCTGGCGTGTGCGGTATCTTCTTGTCATATATCTTCTTCTTGTCATATTCGTCGCGGTCAACGGATTGCAGAGGAGAGACACCATGCACTCCTGCGTCTCCTGTTGAGCGCGTTTCTCACTTTCCTTAGCCAGAGCGTACTCCAGACAGCTGTTCGTCGTCTCTGACGTACACCCTTATATGTCGACCTTCGTTCGGTAATACACTCTTTTATTTTGGCTCCTCCTTCATCACTCTTTCGATTGAGGTTCAAACTAGTCGCCATTATGGGTTCCTTCCGCTCATTACTCTGCGTCATCGTTTTATACGGCCTCTACTTTGGTCTAATCAGCGCCCAAACCACCATACCACGCCGAGAGGTTGGTCTATCAGGGCGAGACACGGGTCCCCTACCGGATCTGGCCACGACTATTGCGGAACCTACCACCACCAAAAGCGAAGCTTCAATGACCTCGCTGTCTTCAGAGACATCGAAGAGCTCCAGCACTTCCACCACTAAAACCTCAACACGTTCGCAGACGACTACATCCGCTCCCGCAGCTACGAGCGCCGCGGACGCCATTCGAACATCAGACTATAAGACGGCGGCTCCCGATCCACTTCCCCTCCAGCCTCGAATAACGCCCGCATTCGGCGTTGGAGGGGCGCTTCTCATGATAAGCGGCGCTGTATTTGCATTCGTCGGCATACAGCATAGGCTGATATACGTTTTCCTCTCTGCCGCGTATCTGGGCAGCCTATCAGTTACAGTCTTGATCCTCTACGTCATGAATCCTGCCGTTCCTGACGCTACTCAAGGCGCTTATCTTGTCGCCATCACTGCAACCGGTATAGTATTCGGTGCGGGCGCTATGTTCTTTCCCGATTTGACAGAAGGCTTCGGATGCCTTCTTGGCGGCTTCTGCCTCTCGATGTGGCTATTAGTCCTCAAACCCGGCGGCCTGCTTACTTCTACAACCTCAATCACCATTTTCGTCGTCGCTTTTAGTGCTGCGATTTGGTCCACGGCATATATTCCCTTCACTAAGCCCTACGGCCTCATAGCGTCTCTTGCATTTGGCGGTGCTACTGTTATCATTCTAGGTATCGACTGCTTCTCGCGTGCTGGTTTGAAGGAGTTTTGGGTCTACATTTGGAGATTGAATGATAACGTCTTTCCCTTGGATACCAACACCTACCCCGTAACACGCGGCATTAAAGTTGAGATTGCCGGAGTCATCATGATCACCACAGTAGGGATATTGACGCAGATGAAGCTGTGGAAGTTCATCAAAAAGCGAAGGGACCGCAGGGCCGCGGCAAAGGCTGAGAAGAGGAAGAGTTTAGACAGGGAAGAGGAGATGGTCGGGAGACGAGTGGAGTGGGAGAATACCCGCACGAGGCAGCAATGGGAGGCTGTCTATGGTGATGGCAATAATGATACGAAAACTTACCTCTCCGTGGATTCCGGGATTGGTACCATGAGCGGGAAAGGGCAGACTACGCCGCAGATAACCGTCCAGATGGATGGAATTGAGATGTCGGATCTGCCAAGCCCAACTGAGGGTAGTATCAGTCGCACAGATGGCAGCACAATGGACGTTGGAGGTCTGACACGTGGCGTGCATGAGAGTAACCCAGCCAGGCGTATATCGCGTGATGAAGAAGCCCTTGCGGCCCTTGAGGGGTCTGTCTCGAGGCAGAGCTCTATATCAAACCGCAAATCCCAATCTCTCGACCCGCAGTCACCGACAGACGAAGAATCTGTTTCACGTCGCAATTCTCAACGCCTCTCCACGGGATCGAAGATTTTGAATAGGCTGTCCAGCAGCTCTTTGGCGTCACAGAAGCACCTCTCTTCCGGCTCTAAGATACTGCATAGGTTATCACATAACAAATCGACTTCGCAACACCGCCTATCCAAGTCGCCATCGAAGCACAGACTGACAGACAACATGGATGACTGGGATCGCTCATCCAGTATCGCAGCTACGATCGATTATCTCGATTCAGAAGCTGACTACGAGGACCTCAGGAGTCTCCCGACAGGCACACCAAGGACAAGCATGATACTTGATAAGGTTATTGTTGGCGAAGAAGAAGAAACCACTTATTCACCTCTCGACGACCAGACGAAAGAGATGCCAGCTGAAATGCCACCTTCTGAAATGCCACCCTATGAAACCGCGCCGCTCTCACCACCACCTTCCCTACGAAAATCTCTTCTCCCACCTGCACCACCAAAGGTCGCAACAACATTCCGCACACAAGAATGGGCCAAACGCCTGTCCCTGGCCGAAACCCCCGCCGCACTCCCTATCGAAGACACCACACCTCTCACCGCAATATCTCCCTCCCCCTCCATCGAACTTGCCGAATCCCCCGCCCCTGTCAACCCCGCAGCCCTAACCCAAACCGCCACCACGGGCTCGGTCGCCCCCTCCCCTATGCGTCCTCAATCCGCGGGCGCATCCATCCACTCCAAGTCGCCCAAACGCAGCAGCACGCGCACCTCGATGCGCCACCCCGCCCTCCCGTACGCCATCTCGCGCTCAACCTCCATGCAGTCTCTCGCTGCGCCGCCACACGCCTACCACGCCTCGTCGAGCGCGGCCTACGGCCCTGGGGGTGCGCTGATGGGCAGTCCGACGGAGGACGGAATCGGGCCGCTCTGGTCGCCGAATATAAGCCCTGGAACGGCGATGTCGCGAATCTCTAGCGCGGGGTCGGTGGCGGGGTATGGCTCGATGCTGTCGCTGCCGGGGAGCGCGCAGCAGCAGGAGGCGATGGCGAGGAATGAGGGGAGTAGGAATAGTCTCGGGTACCTAAATAAGGGTGTATTGAGGCCGGAGATGGGGGATTTGGAGGTGATAGATTTGCGGAGAAAGGAGCTGATGGAGGAGAAGATGAGGGTGGCGCGACTGAAGCAGGATGAGGAAATTCGGAAGAGGGTTATGGAGGAGGTGTGGGCGGAGAGGAGCTTGAGGGAGGGGAGAGGGGGCAGGGTGCATAGGGATGGGTTGAGGAAGTTGATGGCTGAGGGGAAGGTAGGGGTTTGAAGGGGTTTGAAGGGAATTGTATTTTGTTTTTGTGGATATGGGTGGATGGGGTTGTTATCTTGTCACAGGCGTGGGTGTATGAATTGGGATATCTGATAATAGATAATGAATAGTGTAATCAAAACCTAAGGGCATCAAGTAATGATGGTCTTCTCCGCGTGAGTGTGGACGGTGATAGAAATTCTCCCAAGGGTATGGAGAGAGTTTTGCCGGTGGGAGTTGAATGACAACGACCAATCCGAAAAATCCGTATTTGGGCTGAGCTGGGGGAGGTATCGCCAGGGTGTGCTTTCGGCTTCCAGCTTGATACTTCAGCAATAGCTCCGGATTCGCTGGAAGGGTCTCGAGAGTCTTCGAAATGTCTCCTAACGGGCTGAAGAGCACCATAGCCTTGTAGTTGAGAAGAACTGCCTCGTGTGCAATTGGAGAGTCATCGCGGACCAGAGTCGGTTCCCTTGAGTCCATTTGAAGACATAAACGATATGTGTCGTATATCAACGCTCCTGCAACGAAGCTGGTGAAGGCATGGAGATTCCGATGAATAGCTTCCTCCGCTGCAATTCGACGGATTCCTCGATGGAAGATGAACGGGAAGCTGATGCTCCCTGCGCCGAAAATAGGTAGTACAGTATATCGTCCGTGAGCAAGGAGCGGAAGTAGAGCTGCCCAGCCTCATCTGTGGCTGCCCTCATCGCGTTCCGGAATCGCCTGGTGTCGACGTTGTCCAGCACAAGCATCTTGGCGACGTCGCGCCCTCGTTGCAGCGTTTCCTTTGTCACCTCCAAGATGTCAATCTTTCCTTTGGCTACAGCGGCATCTATGCCTTCCCCCGGAACACACATCTCCAGATTTCTCTCGCTGATCTGGTGATGGAGAAACTCGACGCCTTACGCGAGCTGGTGCTTTAGTATCAGTTGCGTAGCTTGCGCACCCCATCGACACTTTTTTACACCCATGGGCTCAGCAGTATTCTGGGTGATGAATATTCAGGGCGCTGGTATGTATCCTGTAGTTAGTGTTAATGTATAATTCGAATGACGATAGAATGTATATGTTCCGGCCCAACCACGAATATAAGCCTTCGCGAATAGGCCAGCCCAACCACGAATAGTATAGTACAGTAATGTAGGTCAATATTCAATCTAAATGCTATTACTAATAGTGTCTACTCTTGCCCGCTTCCGTTTTGGCCTCTCAACTCGGGCTATTTCTGTACGAATAGCTGCCTGATAAGTTGCCACAGTCATGATCATCACCATGGCAGTGTACGCTACACTCCTTAGCTTCCTTGTAGCAACGGCACCGCTTTGTACTGCATTGCCCTTTACATTGACATGATACTCCAACCTGTGCACTTGTTGAAGCCTCTCTAGCTTCAAGCCCTAATGTTACCTGCTTTGTAGAAGTAGGAATTAGGATATCAGACTATAGAGCTTGCTCTACAGCTCCAAATGATTTTGTAGGTATAAGGCGTTGTATAATACCATAGAGTGTAAGAACCTGATATCTATGAGGGTAAGGATCCTCTAAAATGCGTCCAAATAGCCTCTTATTATCAGTTGAGGTTCTATCCTCTCGAGGGACCTTTATAGAGACTATATCTCTAATATCAAAGTGTTGGATATCATGCTTCGTTGTATACTTGCGTATCAACTTATTCATGGTTGGGCTAGAACATATGTAATACCAAACTCAACTCCACAGTTGACTTAATCGGTGGTCGCTTCCCACCCCCGGCTTCCAAAGAGCATTGCAGGACTTCCCAAGTCAGTTCAAAGTTGACGTCGTGGGTGAAGAAGCTCGCCATGGTGGCTACAGGGAGGTCTGTTTGCGTGAATTTTGGAATTGGACTTTTTGAAGTGTGGTTTCTTTGAGGTGCTTAAATGAGACATGGAATGAAATGGAGTTTCAATTCAAACAAAGGGGCAAGGGGCGTAACCCTATACTTTGCTACACACAGATCAAGGGGAATCTCACACCCATTATAGTGCTCGTAAATCAAGTCCAAGATAGGGCTAGATATAATAATGATTATAATTCACTCTACTAAGATGATATTTGTAATGATGTATGGTTACGCTTGCGCTACATCCCACTGAGCCAAAAAGACTACAGTATTCCAGCTCGCCTAGAATACGCGTAACACATTTTATATACTACATGTACTGTAACGGCAGCATTCCTGTTACAATATTAGACCTGTTTACTAACTACATGTATAAGTTTAAAGCAATGATATTGCAATATATTGCAAACAAAATCTACTATTGCACTACAACAATATTTGAATTCCGACTATTTCTGCAACAATATATTGCAATATACTGATAGTATTAGATGGGCTTTACTATCACTATCTAGCTGTCGCCTACCAACTATCCAACCATGCTGTGGAATGACCTCCTAACCACGACTTTAATGACTCTAAGGCTTCTAATATCTCCGCTTTCATCTGGTTTCTCTTATCTGCCATTGTAGGCTTTGCACTCGAGAATAGGCACTCTGGTTTAGCCTCCATTGCTGGTATTAATAGAATATCTAATGCCATAACTACGAGTGCAGGGTAGGTTGTCTTTTGCTCTAACCACCATGCTTAGGTCTACAATAGTGCAGGCAGTGTCACAATATCGTATTCGTCTATAGTAGGTGCTTGTTGTTGCTTCTGTTCTCTCCACTTCTAAAGACCCGTCTTAGGTTTTGTGGCTTGTTTAATGGTAGTAAGAACTGGAAGCTTTGCTGCTTTTGTATTGGCTCTTCTAAAGATCTTACACTGCCTCTTTTGCTGCTATAACCCATTCAAGTTGATCTAAGAGGTAATCCATTGTAGGCAAGACTCTTTCAAGTGTAGCCTGTCACCCTTCAGTTGCAAGGGTTGCCTCTTGAAAAGCCTGTAGGACCTCGTGAATATGCTCAAACTATCAGCCTGTATCGCGCGATCAATCATTGTAAACCAAGAGTTCTAGCGAGTCTGTTGATCTAATAAGATGCCTGCCATGGCTTAACTATAAAAAGGTCTCTTCTCTCGTTAAATGAATACAACGATATTATGAAGCTTGTCAAGAGGACACTTTTGACGCCAGAGATCCATTTCTAACTCAGTAGGAGTAGTGTATTGTAACACTGACTTCTAAACGATAGAAGACACAGAAGTTTCTTGCATAAGGTTGACTTGACAGAGGGGGCAGGGGATTAAACACAAAGGCTTTCCAAGTAACACGTTACAGTATTGTAAAGAATACTATATTGAGTTGAGCACGAAGCTCCTGTCTAAGGGAATACTATCTACTTATATAGTGGCGTCGTGCCAAAGGGATATCAAGGATATTTTGGATAACAAATATCCATGATATCCTATCTATCACGTGGGGTTGTGGCTGTAAGCGCTAGCCTTGTGACTCACAGGTCACAACCGCTACCTCTCTAGTATTGATCCTCAAAACTGCCCATGGGAGTGGCATGCCCACACACCCTTATCTACTGCTCTATCCACTTAATTACTAGGGCTATAGGGACAAATAATCTATATCCATGGTTACAAAGAATAATGGGTATAAACTTACATCTTAACTGCCTTTAATAATGTAAGCTTTTTACGAAAGGACCCTGTTTTAAAATGAGTTTGTTCAACTGCATTTGTATGTCATCAAGTATGCTAAAAAGAGCTAGATCTATCTTAGAACAGTAGCGATTTAATCCAGCTGTAGTTGCCCATTGTTGAATAGCTAGAGTTGCATTTAGAGATGCTAATACATTAGTAATGCATTATAAATATATTACAAAACTTACTAATGATTTTGTCACAAAGCTGTTGATAATCTTCCATTGATTTCATCTCTAATAACTTCATAATGTATTACTAATGTATTATAGGGATGAAATTGTTGATAAACAAGATATTAATCAATACCTAGCTAAGGTCTAGCATGGAGTTCATCCTTCATGGCATGTAGGGGCTTTGTTAGCATGCTTTAGGCTTGGTGATAGCAAAGAGAGTAAGTTAGGAAGTTATATTAACTTTGAAATATATTAATAATATATTAGGATCCTGAAAGCGTCAGAGGACATCTACTCAAGATGAAGACTTAGGTCTAAGTCTTACTTAGCAAGACGAATTAGAGGTTCTATTACAAGCATCATCTTCTGGCTATTCTAGACCCTCTAGGCGTTCTAGTTCATGCCAAAGTTCAGGATCTCGGTCCTAGTATATTTATTCTAATATATTCATAATCTATTACTAATGTATTGTAGCACAATTCCATTACGCCGAAATATAGCTCGGAATATACCTTTAGAACGAGAGAGAATTGAGCTTCAAGTAGCTGCAGCTAAGGCACGTCGTCTTGAAATTGCGAATGAGAGAAATGCAGCTGAGGCTCGGTGCATAGAAATTGATAATGACAGGGCAGAGTTAGAATTATCAATACATTGGGAATGTATTACTGAATCCTTCAACTTTTCGGCCATCTTTGCGTCTTTGGTGGAGGTTATGCAAGGTTGTAGAGCTTAGAGGATGAGGTTGTGGGTGGTAGGTGCCGTTTTAAGCGAGCCTTGGCAATTACGTTCCCCCTGTATCCTCGGATATTGCCTGAACCACGCCACTTTCATCAATATCTGCTTATATAATCATAATCATATTCTTTTTGTGGTCTGGCCCCTTTTGGGCTCACATTGGGTTGCCGTCACATTATTGAGAGACTTTTTGTCGCACAATTGACCATTTTTCATTTATATATTCTTGTTGCACAGTAACAAATGAGTATAGACAAAGTGATGCATAATACCGTATCTGATTCCTATATTATCCACCAAAGACGGCCCGCCCTTCGTGGTATTATACAACTGCCGATATCGATACAAACGATACCCGACGCCGCACTAAAGTATCCCCGGCTCCGATGTAGATCCCGCTTGATCTCATCATTGTCGACGACTCGAATGATTTCGCAGCTCGCCGACCTCAAAAACACTCCTGAAAACGCCCCGGGCCCTAACTGTATGATTATCTCTCCCTCACGCTCAAGCAGTTTCGGGGAGTCGTGGCCGAGTGCCGCGCACGCCGTTATGTCTGAGAGTCAGAGGGCGCAAGAGCTCAGGAAGTACGTACCCTTCCCCGCGCCAAGCATCACGCCCAACCATAATGATGCTGCAAAGATGTTTGCCGCCGTGCCCACGCGCGTGCGCCCGAATTATGCTGACGGCGTTTCCTTCACGATAGGTTCTATGCGCCGTTTGATGATGGCTCCACGCCTGGCAGTGCCCAGGGTATCAACCAGTCCATCCTCGATGATGGGGCGCTGGGTGCATATGCGGAGCTGATCTTGTGGCGACTTCGTGGCACTCGGGCTATGGTCTCGCTCATAGACAACACCACTGAGTACTTCGTCGCTGGAGTTACCCGCCCTGAGAGCTCCTCGAACGAGATTACCACCAGCAATGACTTGTTTGGCTGCTGCACCATCGAAACTGCTGGAGGTCTCTGCGAGGTATGTCATCAGCCTAGTCACGTGGAGTGAACCTTTTCTAACCCGTCACCAGAATGTCATAGCAATGGACGGAACTAAAGGGGAATATCCGTGCTTTGAAGTATCAAGTCTTCATACGCACCCGCGCTACGAACACCAGCCCGTTGTCAATGGGGCCATTGCCGCCTACAAGTACTACGCGGGGACCCCTATTACCACGGCTCACGGGGTCAATATAGGGTCCTTGTTCGTGTTTGGCAACGAGTCACGGCCAAATGGTCTTACTGTGCGAGAAAGGAAATGTAAGACACAACTTTTCAATTCTGTGCCACACTAACACAAATATCAGGCTTGTTTGAGACGGCGGAAAATATAATGAAGCACCTTCAAAGTAAGAGGGAGGCAGCAGAGAGGCGCCGCGTCGCGTTGATGAGCACGGGCGTGGCCAAATTTTTGGAGCGGACGACGTGGCTTGGAGATGCAGATACGGACTCGAATCCGGAATTTCCGTTGTCAAATAGCTTTGGGGAGAGTGAAGCTCAGCGCTCAAGCATGGAATCGACAAACATCACCAGTCAGACTTCAACCTCTGGCGATACTGACATAGACGGATGGCCTAAAAAGAAGGGGGCTTCAGAAATTGTGCTGGATAAAATCAAAAAGGCGTTGGATCATGCAGCCTATGTACTCCGAGAGTCTCTCGAATTGACTGCAGGCGGGGTTGTCTTCCTCGACACGGCTATCGGGCCCAGCCAACCCAAGGCTAGCACAGACTATTCTGATCCTATCCAGCCTAAGGCTAGCACAGACTATTCTGATCCTATCCAGCCTGACCTCGACAGCGTAACATCCGGGATCGGGGGCGTTGAGTTTGAGAATGATTTGACCTTCGAGAACGACTTGACGATGACGGGAATTGACCCGAAGTCTACGATACCCTCTGGCCAGGTCCGAGGGTTCTACGACGAGTATCGGCCAGTTCGAGTCCCAGCGTTGTCCTGCTCCAAACATGCATATCGGAGATCGAGAGCACTAGATGGGAAGACACTCCAGGATTTCATTGATATGTATCCAAAGGGAAACATATGGTATATAGACGAGAAGGGATATTTTTCCTCCCTCGACCAAGACGACACCATTGGTAGCCCCCAAAGGGCCACCCCGATAGAGGGGAAGAGGTCACTTTATAATATAGGCGCCGATTCTACGAGGCAAGCGGCCGAGGCTGCCATTTTATCAAAAGTTTTTCAGGGTGCTCGTCAAATCATTTTCTTGCCGTTGTGGGACGCAAGCGGAAGTAAGTGACCTCTCATTCCCTCGTAACGTCGCTAATTGCCCTAGGTCGCTGGCATTCCGGGTGTTTTGTCTGGAGCAATAATTCTTTTCCCGTCTTCACTGTCGATTCTGAGTTGGCGTATATATCTGCTCTGTCAAACTCTGTAATGGTTGAGATTAGCCGCTTAGACTCCATCATGGCCAACAACGTCAAGTCAGACTTCATCAGCAGCATATCTCACGAGTTCCGCAGCCCTCTTCACGGTATCCTTGCCAGCGCAGAGTTCTTGCACGACTCCGACCTTGATCAGACGCAGGATCAGTTAGTGGCGTCGATACGCACATGCGGGTCCGCGCTGCTGGATACGATCAATCATGTCTTGGACTATAGTAGGATCAACTCATTCCAGAAGAAGGACTCGTCCGGTTCATTCTCCAATGAGTTGGATCTTTCGGCCAATGTTGCCCTCCTCTGCGAGCGTGTCGTGGATGGATTGATCGCTACTCGCGGCTACACTGGCGTTGGCAATGAGGATACCACCGCGGACCCCGATTCCCCACATGATGCACCATATGCCCACCTAGTCGAAATCATTCTCGACTTCGAGGACAGAGACTGGATGTTCAAGATCATTCCTGGAGCGCTACGCCGCATAATCATGAACACTGTCAGCAACGCCATGAAATTTACCAACACGGGATTCATCCTCATCCAGCTTCGCGTCAAACAAACCGACGGACGACAATCCGACCCGACGTCGAGAATAGGACAGAAGATCCTCGCTCTTAACGTTATTGACTCTGGCCGCGGGATGTCAAAGCAATACATGGAGCGCAAGCTCTACACGCCCTTTGCGCAGGAAGACCCCTTCATACCGGGAGTCGGTCTGGGCCTGTCCATCACGCGGAACATCATCGCCCAGCTAAGCGGCAAGATTAACATCCGGTCCGAGCTCGGCAAAGGCACAGATGTCGAAGTCTTGCTCCCCCTCGCCCTCGCCGATACCAAAATCACCTCAACCGAGATGAGTTCTACGCACGCGCACCGCAGTGCACCAGACCGTGAAGCTGCCGCGGCAGTCGAAGCTGTGCGTGCCCTCGCCCCAGGCAAATCAGTCGCCATCTGGCGCGCGCCCGCCCATACAGCCCGCACTCGTGACGACTCGCTCGCTTGGAAGACGGTAGCAGGGTACTGCAAGTCCTGGTTCGGGTTCACGCTGCTGGCAAATCCCGATGCCACCACCCTCGCCAAGGCAGACTTCGTCATCAGAGAGTGCTCTCCCTTCGGCCCGGACGACGTCCCCCTCCCACCCTGTACATCCCGCGTCCTCAACCTTCAAGAGCGCATCGACCGTCCCTCAACACGACGCACGCACATGGATTCACCCCTATCGGAGGCGCTGTCCCTACCCACCGGCCCATTCAAGCTCGCCATCGCCATTCTCTCTCTCTTTCACGACCCCGCCCGCCGCGCCGCCCTCGAGGACGAAGCCGCAAATCCACACCCAGTCCGCTTTCTCAGCGATGAAATGGTGACGCAGCATTCCCGCGGCTGGTCCGCCGGGCCACCGACTCCCACTCCCGGAAACCGGCAAGAGGAAGCCCTGGTGCCAGCGCCCACTACGAAGGGCACATCGACATGCCACCCACGGACACCATTGAGCGCCCAGCCGCTCACCCTCGCGTCGCTATCGCTACCCGTGCCGACGCGCTCCCTCCACATCCTCGCCGTCGACGACAACGCGCTCAACCTGCTCCTGCTAACGCGCTATCTCTCCAAGCGACCCAGCGACATCGTCGTCACTGCACGCAACGGCCTCGAGGCTGTGACGGCCGTGCGTGCCGCCGCCGACCCCTTCGACGTCGTCTTCATGGACATCAGCATGCCGGGCATGGACGGCTTCGCGGCGACGCACGCGATCCGCGTAATGGAGGCGGAGCGTGCGGAGCATGGGGTGAGTAGGGCGCGTATCGTAGCGCTAACGGGGTTGGCGAGTAAGAGGGATAGGGAGGAGGCGGAGAGGTGCGGGTTTGATGATTTTTTAACGAAGCCGGTGAGTTTTCGGTTAATTGGGAGGTTGTTGGAGGGGCTGAGTCGGGGGGGTGGACGGGTGGGGCTGGAGGAGGAGGAGGATGGGTGAGAGGAGGTACTTGTATGGTGCCGTCGGTGTGCTTGGGTGAGCGAGTAGAGGAGGAAAAGGATGGGTGAGGAGAGGAGAGGTACATTGTGTGGTACCATCAGGCTACAAGAGCGAGGACGCGCGCACGATAATGTTCTTATTTTGGTCTACGAATTGGAATGGGTGACGAAGGAAGGAAAGGTTTTGGGAATTTGGAATTTGGAATTGGATGATAAAGGCTGGCATATAATATCCGAAGCACATCTTGAGGTAAAGCGATATATATCTATCTACACTAGTATACTACTACATGGTCTGCATCTACGCAAAAACAATTTAGGAATTTAATGTCTAGACCACGAAATCTTTCGCGACCCCCAGCTGCCGCCTTCCCATGCGCGAGAATGAATCTACTATCACCCCTCCCCCCCCCCCCCCCCTGCGCCCCAACTTCATCGTCATCAAGACAAGAGCACAGCAACGACCCATGTCCCACAATCACCAAAGACACACGAGTCCCACAATCACCAAAGACACACGATTCCCATCCCACACCCATCGCCACCCCCCAAGACACGCCCCCAAACCCGCAAGTAAGCGAGACAAGACACACACACACGCCCAACCAACACCACCACCGATACCGTCCATCCCCACAACCGCGGCTCGGAAACACACGAACGACCCCACGCCCGGGCGCGCGCACGCCAGAGACATGACGTGTGCGAAACGGCAATGCGGGTAAGTGGTTGTCTTGATGCTGTACCCCGCTGGGGATGTACGTCAGAAGGGACGATGACGGGGGCGGGTGTTTGTTGGGCTCGAGATGGGGTGTGGACCGGTGGGGTGGGGATGGGATTGGGGAGTTTAGAGGGCTGGGAGGTTCGGTGGGTGGGATTGATAGGTTTTAAAGAGCTGTGGGGGATGATGTAGGTTAAGTGAGGAGGTGGGAAGAGATGACTTAATGAGAACACCCCGTCACCTCTGACACATGGTCGTTCAAAGTTATCTAAACCCCTTGGCCTCGCTGTTCTAGTCAAGCCCAAGGACCGCAGGAGACGCACGCGGATATTGTGGGTTGAGGGGTGGGGTGAGGTTGAATTCTAGAGTAAGTAGGGTGAGGTGAGGTGAGGTTGGGCTGGAGGAATATATGTTGATGGGATGGGAGGGGGTGGGTGACGGCGGCGATGGGATGGCTTGTTTTGGCGTTGGAGATTGATTTGGTTGTGAGTGGTTTGAGTTCTGGAGTTGGGTTAGTGTTGGTTATGCTGTAATAGTTGGGTGAGGCTGTAGAATAAGGACTTGGGATGGTTGGGAGTTATCCGCCTCATGTTTTATAAGCCGGAGTGGTGAATGTGGGCAGGGCAAGTCTTCAAAGTTTAAAGTTTCACGCAGTGCAGAGTTCCAACTCGTGGCATATCGACTTTAAATAAACTATTTATTCCTTTATAACATATTAATTCAATTCACTTGGATCACAATATGTAAGCAAGTAAACCAAGATTTTTATCATCTCATCAATTCACCACCATGTATATACCCGTCCCCTCCTCCTCTCCTCCTAACACACCACAGCCAATTTCCTTATTTAAAAGAAAAGAGGTGTAATTACATCATCCACCCTTCCGAAATTAAAACCCTCCGCAAGTATAGCCCGCTTACAAGGCGAGAGCAGCAAGGGCGAAAGCGGCGACGGATCCAAGGCCGGCCGAGAGCTTAGCACCGGCGCCAGTGGAGAAGGATGGGGTGGCCGGGCCGGTGGGGGTGGTGCCGTTGCCATGTTTTCCGCCGGTAGGGGCAGCGCCGCCGTGGACCTGGGTAGATGAGCAAACCGTCACATACACCGTCTCGGGTACACCTACAGTGGTGGCTGGAACAGCGGCGGCCTTGGTGGAAGATGGCGTGGCTGGAACAGCGGCGGCCTTGGTGGAAGATGGCGTGGCTGGAACAGCGGCGGCCTTGGTGGAAGATGGCGTGGCTGGGGCCGCAGAGGAGGCTGGGGCCACTGGGGCCGCGGAGGAGGGCGCAACCGTACCCTCATCGGCAGGGGGGTTCGCACAGAGGGCCTTGGTGGCGCTCAGGGTCTTGAGCTGGTCAGCGGGCTCGCACTTGGAGGTGACGCATCCGAGGGCGGCGCTGGTGATCTTGGCCTGGTTGGCGGCGATGCACTGGCAGGAGAACTCCTTCTGGCCGCAGCTGGTGGCGCTGCTGGTGGCATCGAGGATACACTGGACCTGCAGGGTGGGATGTGGGTTAGCTGGTGCTCGTGATAGACCGGATTGTGACTCTCGGTAGTGAACGAAGATGTCAAGGTGGGGGTACATACGGCGCAGGTTGGGATGCCGTGGGTATCCTGGGCGGTGGCGGCAGCGATGAGGGCCACAGCGGCGAAGGTAAGGGAGTACTTCATCTTGATTGATTGATTGAATTGATTATCGCAAGTTAACGAGTGTGTGATGAGCAACGAGTGACTCTTGTGTTGTACAGGCTTGATAGATGAGTTGAAGCTGGAGTGGGTGAGGGAAGAGGAAAAGGAAAAGAAGGAGGAGGCGGCGAGTAGCTGGACTATATATGTGAAGCGGGTGGGGACATCTTTTGGGGGGGGAGGGGGGGGAGGGGGGGGAGGTGGAGGGAGGGATGTTCAGGGGTTGGGGGGGGGGGGGGGGAAAGGTGGAGGGAGGGATATGTTCAGGGGTGGGGGGAGGGGGGAAGGTGGAGGGAGGGGGGAAGGTGGAGGGAGGGATGTTCAGGGGTGGGGGGGGGGAAGGTGGAGGGAGGGATATGTTCAGGGGGTGGATGGTGGTAGTGGTGGTAGTATGTGGTAGTATGTGGGGGATGTTCCGGGGGGGGGGATGGTGTGGTAGTGGTGTGGGGAACTAGAGAGGTCGACAGGGAGGAGAAGGGAGGGAGGGGGAGGGAGAAGGGGAAGAGGCGAAGGGGAAGAGGCGAAGGGGAAGAGGCGAAGGGGAAGTTCCGCGTTTAGGGATGGCAATAATGTTGAATGTGCAAAGTAACTGGAGGAGGGAATTAGAGGAAAGATACATGGCGATTGGTGGGTGTGGTGGTACGCTGAACTGCTGGAGATGGCGGATTGTAGTGGTTAGAGCAGGGTTGATATCACACTGTGAGTGGTGGCAAATTAATTTACAGTGTATTGACAATGCGTTGACAAGGTACTTTCAGGCACTACAGGGACTGACGGCTGTGTTGACAGCTACTGACAACAGCCTGGCAGCAGCCTGGCAGAGGAGAAATCAGGAGAAATCAGGAGAAATCAGGGACGGACTGGATCGAGTAGAGAGGAAACATGGAAGAAACATGGAAGAAACATGGAAGAAACACGGAAGAAACATGGGATAAAACATTGCAACTGATACAACGACATGACGTAGAATACCTTCTTCGATGCGGTGAATATGGAATATGGAATGGAATATGGAATCTGGAATCTGGAATATGGAATATGGAATACAATATGAGTACTACTATCGTCATGGCCGTTCGCAGCGACCACATTCATTCCATCCGTACAGAGTACAAGTAGGCACACTCGCATGCGCATAAAGGTACCTCGACGCACTACCACGCAACGCGGAGAGCAGTGTACCATAGCGTGTTAGTGCATGTACTGCTTAGTAAAAAAGTGGCAACAACAAACGGCTAGGGGCAAAAACAAGCTGGGGTGACTTGAAGACGACGGAGTAGCAGCTCAATGCGGAAAACGAGAAGCGGCGCAAAAGGTACTTGGCATGTGTGTGGCAAATGGGTGGCTGCAGGAAGTACCCCGGTCGCTAAAGCCCCTAAACCCCATACCCATAGGTTTAGGGAGGCGCATGGGTTTTGGGAGGCGCATGGGTTTGAGGAGGCGGGGGGGAGTTAAGGAGATTACCATATGCTTACACATGCTTAGCACGCCGAGAAACAGCGCACCAGCACGGTTTGGCGGTTTGGCGAAATTAGAAATTAGGCATCACATGTTTTGCTGGCCTATTAGGGCGACAGGCGGGGCGGGCGAGGCGGGGGGAGGCCAGGCTCGGTGATTTAGATATTAGGATATGCAGGTGTCAGTTGGTTGTTTCCTAGAACAGTCAGTTCTGGAACACGGAGAGATGAATGGGAATAGGGACATTCAGCGGCGTTATTCAGCGGCGTTATTCAGCGGCGGCATAACATACATAGCTCATACAACATACTCATACTGTACAACATACATCCCTCATCCCAACATACCTCATACATACAACATACTCATACAACATACCAGCTAAAGCATACTAATCCCCAACTCCCTCCCTAACCCCATTTCACATGCTTATTTCCTTGTTCAGTACTACCTTCCTTACCCTCGGCCCATCCGACGCATCTGTAGCCTGTTTAGGACCACCTTAATCCTTCGCCGAATACCCCCCAGCCTACACCTCCTTCCACCTCCACCAATCATCAGCACTGCATTCACCACGCAAATTACACACCGATATCCAAGCAAATCACCACCAACAAAACCACTACATGGCTGTACAACAACAACGCCTGCACTCACATGCATCCTGCCTACCCGCCCACCACCGTCCCAATCGCATCCCCATCTATTTATATACCCCCCCCCTCATCTACCTCATCCACAATCTGCAAGTCTCGATGGTGGGCGTACTACGGGGCGATCCCTCCAACGCAAGGTCCTTGACACAACCGCCCATCGCAATCTCCCCCAAACCAGGGCCCGCTCCTCGCAATCTCCCCCGGACTCGGATCGCTGAGGGTCGCCGACAGGTGGCGGCTGCAGGGGGAGAGGGGATGGATGGGCCTTGCTCTGCCAGGGGAGAGGGCCCGACGTGACCGTTGGAGGTGCGCATGTGAAAGCTAGGTGGAGCACGGTCCTTGGTGGTGCTAGGCAATAGGGGTTTTCATTATCTGTGGCCAGCCCTTGATGGCCTCACTCTTTCGCCTTCCCTCCTCCCTCTCTATCTCGATCTCTATTTCGAAAATAACAGCACTCTCCCACTCAATCACTCCCCCTTCTTCCCCCCCGAAAAACTCACCACAGCCCACTTCCCACTCCACGCCCACCGCCTGCCCTCCCCCTCGCCCTGCTCAGCCCGCAACTCCTCATCCTTCCCCTCCGGCAACCCAACTACCACATCCGCCTTACACGTCCGCAACGACAGCAGATCAACCCCCGACCCCCTTCCCATCGGCCCCAGCGCCTCCGCAAACGCCGTCGTAGGCGCCCACGCCGCGTCGGCAACGAGCTTGCGATAATTCAAATCCCCCTTGAACACCACGAGCGTGCTCTCCCTCAGGTCCTCATACAGCCGCGGCGCGCTCGTCGGGAGGCGCCAGAAGCTGCCCCCAGCCGTCCAGAAGGCGTTGGGGCGCATGCGCAGCGTGCCCTCGGCGTGCAGCCCGCTCCAGTGCGCGAACAGCGCCTCGAGCGCCGCCACCTCGTCATCCGCCAGCCGCGCGGGCGCGGTGCCCTCGCGCTCCTCCTCCTCCGAGGCCGTCTCGAAGAAGGCGCGCGGGTCGTGCAGCGCCGAGAGCAGAGCGGCGAAGTCGGCAGGCACAACGTCGGAGACAAACCAGGGGATGGATTTCGGGTGCAGCGTCACGCTTGTCGCGAGGCCCGTCGCGAGAAGGTACCCGGCCAACAGCAGGTCGGCGAACAGCTCGAAGCCCGCGTTGTCGAGGATGATGTCAACCGTGCGCTCGCCGCCCGCGGCCTGCGCCTTGAGGAGCACATCGTACGCGGCGTGCAGGTCGTTGACGAGGATGTGCTTCTCGGCGGCCTTGCGCGCCTCGGAGCCCTGGAGCTTCTGGATGTCGGCATAGGAGAGCGACGTCAGCAGCGACAGGTCCGTCGCGTTGCCCCACAGGCTGATCTCGGCGATCTCGGTGAAGACGAGCGATGCGGCCTCGGCGGAGGGCGTGGTGCGCGCGAGGTCGCTGAGGATGGCGTTGTAGCGCGTGGCTAGCTCGAGCACGGCGGGGCCAGAGGACCGGAAGGTCGAGATCTTTTGCCGCGCGAAGACGTCGTGTTGTTTCCAGTGCGTGGAGCGCGCGAGGTGGGTTGCGATGCGGCTGTGCAGTGATGTCAGTGTTTCGTCCTATGTGTCCCTGTTCTGGACCCTCCTGCCCATCCCGTTCCCCTCCCATATTCCCTCCCTTATCCAAATCCGGTAGAATTGAGTGTGTAGATGTGCGACGTACCGGTAGAGATAGCATTCCGAAAACAGCCACGGGGCGTGTAACCACGTCGTCTCCCCCAACGCCGCTAGCTCCCTGTTATACTCCTCGATATCGCTGCCTCCATCGTCCTCCAGCGGCCTGTGATCCATTAGTCCCTGTATTTCATCCCAATGTCCCTGTAATTTCATCTAATACCCCTCCCGTCCCCCCCCCATCCTTCCGCAACTAGAACAACCCCCGACAACCAGCACGCAAGAAAACAGGGAGAAAAAACTTACGTCATCGCCCGATCATGCAGAACCTCATACTTCAGTGCCCCAACCGCCTCCACGATCCGCTTGCCCTCCTCCCGCTTGTCCGCTTGCGACAGCTCCAGCGCGCTGACAGCGCGATGCACATCATCTATCGCTCCAGTCTAGTGCGTCACTGTTAGTATCGCTTTCTTGCTCATATGCAGGGTCGGACACCTTGGTGGGGGGGAGGGTTACCAAGATGACGGGCCATCGCGATCGGGCGGACGTGAAGGCGAAGGAGCTCCGGTCCGAGGTGAGGTATTGCGCTTTGCCTTCTGTCAGTATGGCCAGGCGAGAAGGCGGGAAGGTGAGGGGGGCGAGGGGAGGGACATACGGGTTTTGGTATCGTGTTCCATTGTGTCGCCGTCGTTGGTGGTGGGAGGCTGTGGGATGCTTCCTTGACTGCTGTCGGTTATTTTTGGTGGGGTCGGTCTTGAGCTCGGTCGGTCAGTCGGTGTCCCCGGCCGGCTCGGAGGTTTTGGTGGGGTGGGGTGGTGAAGTGGTGTGGGAGGAAAATTTTTGCTGGCGATTTTAAGTGGGTTTATATGGCCAGACAAGGCATTACGTTACATCAATCAAAAGGGGATATGGTTTAGTGGTATAATGCTTCTTTAGCACTTGAGTTTCGTACTCTGGTAATATAGAAGAGGTCCGGCGTTCGATTCGCCGTTTCTCCAATTTCTTGATATATTTTTGGGGATTTTCTTTTGTTGGTGGCGTGTGTGGGCTGTACAGGAAGGAATTGTGTGCTCGACCAACAGTTGAAATGGTGCTTAAGCCTAAAAAAAGGTGCAAGATATTTTTTAATATTTGTGAAGTATATTCGTGGCCAGACTTTAATGTCTCGATGTTTTTGGGGTCTATCTACGTATGTTTTTTCGTTGAGGAATATATCCGCGCATAATATGATATAATGTTAGGCCAACTGAATAAGCAACTACAACCAAAATAATGATTTTAATACCGGCTCATGGGAGATGCTGTAATACTTCAATCATCAAGGGAGCTGTAAGATGGCTGACAGCCCAGAGGTACTGTGCTTTGGTCAGCACTGCACTCTATGTTACTGACAATGATATATTGATTGTTTCACTTGTCGAGAAAATATGGGGTTATGGATCTAGAAAGCAACGGTGCCTCTTCGATTACGGATGCAATAGTTCGGCAATACAATCATATAGCTACATGTAATCCTGCTGCCCAATCTAGAGGGGTATTGTGTATGCCCAAGGATTGGAACTAGTAATTTATTCAGTCCCATCTAGAGCCTAAATCTGCCATGGAGCATGCATGAGACCAGCTATTCGCTCCAGTTTAGATGCCCCCCATTTCAAAGTCGTCATCATCATCATCATCATCATAATCCTCCTCATCCTCCTCATAATCTTCTTCTTGAGGATATCCCTTAAACCACTGCTGATTGCCCTCTCCAACCCACGCCTTCTCTACTTTCCTCTTTGGTCGCCAACCACCCCCTTTACCTGTCCACCAATACACATGATCACCTCCTATAAACGTCTCGTTACCAACCTTCACTGGCTGCTCTGTAAGCCTATGATCTAGATAGTTTTTCTGCCCCGCCTTAAACCACACCGCCTCAAACTCGGCATCTTCGCTGTTTTCAAGGCTTAGGCTTGCAGTCAGAGACATCATCTGCAGCGCGGGCATATTCTGCTTCGCCTTGCCAGCAGCAGCCAGCAACCCATCCATCGCTTCATCATCAGGATATGTCCTGAACATCTCTGTGCCGCGATCGCTGTCGAACTCTGGCTCAAGTGGGACCACAAAGTCGTGTGGGACGGTGTTGTCTGGGTGCCGTACAAAGTACCATGAACCCGACGGGCGCACGGTGGAGATGATTACGGAACAGGTCCTGAGAGAAGGCCACTGAGGAGCCATGTTGGCTAGGCTCGCGAATGCGGAGTCCAGAGCGGCAGGAGGCTGGAAGAGCTGTGGGGAGATCATGATGGGCCCTTTGAGGTCGATAGTCTTGAGGGTTGGGATGAGGGAAATTGCATAGAGCGCTAGGGAGAAGTGGTCGATATCGGAAAGCAGGATTGAGGGAGGTTCTTGGAACTGGTAACGCGGAGACGGATTTTCGGCGCATAGTGAAAACGAGGTGAGAGGGAGCGAGGAGAGGGAAAGGAGCAAAAAGAGATATATGAGTAGAGTGGAAACGCCGGGGTTCAAAAGCGCGAAGGATAAATGCTTATACGTACCATATCTATCCTTCCGCCGTACTTCCAAGCCCTCACTCCTTTCCATATGTAAGTCCAGCTTCTCCAGGGCCGGAAACTTCTTCGCCAATCGCGCTATCGACTCTGCCTCTTACAGGTCTCGGATAGGACGGAGAAACAGCGTATTTTGTCACTCTCTTCAACTCAGGTACCCCCTCCAGCGGTCCCAGGCGAAGCCAAGAATCGCAGTGTCTCCCCTCAAACAAGTCACTTCGCTCTCCCCGTTCTACTGCCATTTGTTGCTCTCCTAAAAGCCCACTATTTCTTTTCTTTGCATCGCTAGGCGAGTAGATCTGCACATCTCTAACGACAACGGCACCAAACCCTCCCCCACGCTGGACCTTGTTCTACTTAGCCTCTCCTCCTCATCCTCCTCCCACCTTTTCACGAGTCTGAATAACTCTGCAATAGCAGTAGTAAATGCCGCATCATTTACTCTCTTATCTTCCTCAGTCTCCACAACGCACATGCTGCATCATCATACTCGGGTAGGACAACCTGATACTTCACTTCCCTGAGGGCGGCTCTCCGGTGACCCGTCATAAGTTTAGAAAAGTATTCTAGCTCGGAGCTTGGGAGGTTGATCTCCCGAAATGTCCGCTGTTCTATGTGCCACTGCCAGGTCTTGCACACTGTGGCATAAGGTGGGAGTCGGAGACGGGCTTGATAGGGCCGCCGTCCCTGATGCGCTGTAGACGCAATACGAGGTTATCATGGTCGCCGGGGATGCAGGAGAGAATCTGAGCGAGGGTTTCTGGGGAAAGTGAGGCGATTGTGGCCATTTGAAGCGGTTGCAGAATGGGGTTTGGGGTTTCTTTATGGTTGTCTTTGTTTATGGGGATGCGGCCGTCAGATTACAACGTGGATTAGATGGTGAAATATGATAGGCACGCTAATCCTATTACAGACACGCTATACAAAAGAGAAGACATGCATGAGTGATTGTAGTTTCGCCACTATTTTCAGCCGTAATTGCATGGCATTTCAATGGTGGGTTTCTAGTCCCAATGTCAGTTCTTGACCTTGGCTGCAGCCTCCACAGGCACTTTACAGTCAAAAATAATACCCTTAACTTACTCGTGTGGCCCAAAAGTGGTAGACGAGCAGATTCGACGCGATAGGCGTTCAGGAGGGGGTGTTCAAGGCAAAGGGAATCCGACCGTACGACGCTGTGGCACTTGTGGAGAGACTGGTCATAATTCAAGAACGTGTCAAGATACTATTACTGTACAACCTTTAGTAGATCCGCAATTAGTTTAGTTAAATTTAATTCGTTGTTGTTGTTTAATATTAATTCTTCGTACGAAGGTAGGAAAAAGTTAACCGGGTACTGATATTAACCGGGTACTGTGCATGTATAACGAAAGTGCCAAACAAGCGAAAGTGCCAAAATATCGCGACTACCCCATAAGAATTGCGATAAATCCACCACAACAATATAAATTAATTAAAACTACTCGGAGTCCTCTTCCTCAGACCTGTCTATTACAATCTGACAAGTGCGCGCATTGTGTCCAGTCTCACCACACTTGCCACAGCGACGTGCATGGGTTTCTTCCCTTGGCTTCCGACCACTACTTGCCCTTATTTCTTGCTCTACTTGCTGCACAACGTCCCTCTCGTCCTGTAGCTCCTGTGCTACCTGTTGACTAAGTGATCCTCCTTGCTGTAGTCGTGTTTTTTTAGCTCTCCGGCGCTTGCTTAGCACTTCATTTGCCTGTCGCAGGTTTTGGTTCTCTGCTTTTAACAATGCTAATTGATGCATTATTTGCGATGCACCCTTTGTAAACTGGTCAACAGCTGCATAGATTGAGGTTGGAGAGCTATTTTGATGATGCGCAATTCGGTTTTTAATGAAAGTAGACTGTGATACAGCTTCAGTTGGGTTATTTGGTGTCTGAGAAACCCATGGTTGAGCGGTGTTTGGGTGAGAGGTTGGAGGTGTTGGCGTCTTAAACCTAAGGTCAAGTGTAGATATTACACTCTCAGGGCTAAATGGAAGAAGCCCAGCACCTCGGAACCCTCCCTGAATATTGCTTTCTGTCATTGCAATGTTAAATGCAGCATGGAAGGTAGGAAAGAAGTCATCCTTAGTAATGTGAATAATATGAGCCCGCATCATATCTTCAATTTGCCGACCGTAAGCTCTCTTTAATGGGCCAAAACAGCCAACATCAAGTGGTTGGAGTATATGGGAAGAGTGAGCAGGCATACAAAGCATAATAATGTTGTGTTCTTTGCAGTACTCCTCAAACTTGTCTGAGTGGTGGCTCTCATGACCATCAAGGACTAACAAGTGATAACCACCAACACTCCGGGGCTTTGTGTGCTTCTCAAAATGCTGAATCCAATCCATACCTCTCTCGTTTGTAGTCCAGCCATTTGCAGTAACAGCGATTACCCAATCTGCTGGAAATCCGCTATTCTCATACCAAGATGCAAGGTGGTTTTTACCTGCCACAATGACAAATGGCGGCACTGCCCAACCTTGAGAACTAACGCCTTGGATTACTGTAACCCATTCCCGATTGCCAGGCTGCACCTTTTTTGCCTTTGCCCGCCCATCTGAGCTCGTTACTACCGTTGCGCTTGAGATGACGCCCATCATAAACCCAGTCTCATCAAAGTTGTAGATATCTGCATTGTTGATGCCATACTTTAGAATTGTGTTCCATACAAGCTCAAACCAGCCACGAATGACTTCTGGATCTTCGCACTTAGCCCTCTGGTAGTCGTATTTTCGCTGGAAGCGTGTCCGGAGCTCTACATGGCGCTTAACAAAGTTTGAAGCCCAACGTGACCCGACGCGTGGCGCGTCGCGTGTTGCAAGTAGTCGATTTGCCATATCTTCAACAATAGACAACTGAGGAGGGAACCCTTTAGCAGCTAAGTCAAGTATATACTGAATAAGAACTGATTCCTCTAGGTTACTTAATTTCTGTAAGTTGGCTTGGATATCGCGTCGTGAAGGTACGCCTTGTAAATGGTGACGTAGCTTGCGGTGGTCTACGGAATAGATCCTAGCTGCAACTTGAAGGCGCAAATTTGGGTCGCTTTGCATAGCTTGGATAGCTAGCACTAATTTGCTTTCATCATTTTTATGGCGCATGTTTTGTTGTGGAGGAATTTAACATTTAGTTGGGGGGGTTGGTCACCGCATGATTTTGGCACTTTCGCTTGTTTGGCACTTTCGTTATACATGCACGTTACTGATAAACCACGTTAACTAATTATTATGCTTCCTAATTATTCTAGTGTTTTAATTGACTGGAGTGCACAGACCCTCAGTTTGACTTAGAATATTGTGCGCATTCACTTCGTACAGCAAATGAGGCACTTAGTAAACGCCGTAGAGCTAAAAAGACACGTATTCGTCAAGGGGGTGTACTTACTGTCGAGGATTCCCTTCCTTGGGTGGCTAGATTCTCACATCTGGTGCACCCACCATTACAACAAGGCACCGAAGAGCTTAAGGCTACCAAGCAATACCTGCTGGAAAACCTGGAAAAGGGATTCATCATCAACAGCAACAGCCCCTTCGCATCCCCTATCCTATTCGTAAAGAAAGCAGATGGCAACTTAAGATTTTGCATTGACTATCGGAAGTTGAACGGTCTTACCCGTAACGACCCCTACCCTATCCCGCATATTGACGAACTACTAGGACGGGTGTCGAAAGCCAAAATCTTCACGAAGCTAGATATTAGACAATCCTTCCATCGTATACGAATGCACCCCGGCTCAGAAGAGTACACTACCTTTCGGACTCGCTATGGAACCTACAAATGCAAAGTGTTGCCGTTTGGATTGACGAACGGTCCCGCAACCTATCAGCGGTATATGAACGATGTCCTAATGCAATATTTGGACGACTTCTGTCCTGCCTACCTAGACAACATCCTAATCTATTCCGAGGACCCTACGGAACACGTATACCATGTGCATAAGGTCCTACAGTGTCTCTGTGAAGCTGGACTTCAAGCCGATATAAAGAAATGCGAATTCAACGTTACCCGGACGAAGTACTTAGGATATATCCTTACTACTTCTGGTGTCCAAGAGGACCCTGACAAGATCGAGCCCCTTTGAAACTGGATCCGACCGACTACCGTTACAGGTGTGAAGTCCTACCTAGGCTTTTGTGGCTTCTACCGGCAATTCATTCGAGATTTCGGCAAAATAGCAAAGCCCCTCACAACTATTACTAGTCCCTCGGAGCCGTTCCGGTGGACAGACGAATGTGAGGATGCGTTCGAGGAATTGCGACGACAACTTTTAGCGGTACAGGCACTTCACCACTTCAACCCCGAATTGCCTACAAAGCTGGAGACCGACTCCTCTGACGGAGTGGTAGCTGGTGTCCTGTCTCAAGAACACCCTGACAAGCGATGGTACCCCGTAAGCTTCTACAGTCACGTCCTATCCGGACATGAGATCAACTGGGAGATCCATGACAAGGAACTATTCACAATCGTGAAAGCCTTCAGAAAATGGAAGCCCGAGTTGGCTTCGGTATGCCACCGAGTTGACGTCTACACTGATCACCGTTCGTTGGAATATTTCATGTCTACCAAGATTCTCATGGTGAAACAGGTTCGATGGAGGGAGCTACTCTCCGACTTCAATTTCTGCTTGTAACAAAGTGACCTCGTGAGCTAAAAGCTCTGTCCCCTTTGCTAATGAAGCAACTGTCTTAAAAATAGGCGTCAGCGAGCTTCCTTGATGACGTGCAATACGACCTTTAACTAAGGTTGTTTGTGAAAGAGCTTCGGTCGGTGTCATACTGACATTCGTTGCACTCAGTTTGCTATCAAACTCAAGAGCAAACTTAGAAATCTCCTCCTCAAACCTACAAGTCACCATACATATCTTGGCTTATCACACCAACAACAGAAACAATACTACTCAACGATTGCTGCAAACTCTTCTACTACATCTGTTTATGCTACATACATCACGGCATATCATTTGGACACTCATTGAACAAGTTATTAAGAAAATCTCCTCCTTAAGGGGGTGGGCCAATACTACCACATGGCATATCTCTACCAACTAGAGGCCTAGGAACATGAACGATAGCTCTAGAAGCTTCTACAACCCTCTATGATTCATTACACGTCATCGCTCCTTAGTTACCCACAAGATTGGTTAAGTTATGACATAATTTGTCTATAGGTACTCTGACCTTGGACCTCCTTTTCACTTCCTATAGGCTAGGAACCCAAGAGATGGTTCTATGGGATTCTCTTACGTTCACTACATGATTAGCAAGCTAGTTGTGGGTCGCACTTGATTTCTAATACATTTACCAAGCCTGGTTAGTCATGGAAAGTCATGGAAAATGAGAGAACTACACTCCTTTGGCATAAATAGGATTGCCCTTTCCTTAAGAAAGGGCAAGCAGGCAATACAGTAAATCGACTAGCACATACTTCTACGTCTTTTCCAAGCTTCCAAGCATTGATCTTGTTATTCTCTGTTTTTGAAAAGTCAGTGAGGTGCTAACCTCTGACTTACCCCTGAGTTCTCAGACTCAACATTTGTTGCAACTTGTCTAAACCACTTCACCACATCATACACCTGATTGCTGCGTTGTGGAATAGTCTAAGCTACAACCCTTTGGCTCTGTTTCCTAAGACAGTGTGTTATCTTAGTAAATTCATCCCTTCCTTGGGTGGCTAGATTCTCATATCTGGTGCACCCACCATTACAGTCGGGTTGTGAGGCGTCTGAGAGACCCAAGGGTCCTTGTCTACTGAGGGGAGCCGAGGAGGTGTAACCGCTTGTAAGTTAACATCAAGCTTAGATATAACTACTTGAGGATCGTACGATATTAAACCAGCTCCCCGGAATCCAGCTTGGCCATTTTGGACTGAAGTGACTGCTCGTACGCCGCCTTGAACACAATGAAGAACGCAACCTTGCTGATATGATTAATATGAGCCTTAATAAAGTGCTCAATTTGAAGACCGTACTACACTAAAGCACCTGACATCAAGTGGCTGGGTTAAGTGAGAGGAATGAGCAGGCAAACAAAGGGGTATAATGTTGTTGGACTTGCAATATGCTTGAAATGCAGCTGAATCATGACTCTGTAAGGACACAGGGCACCCAGCTCACAGTAATAGCATATGAGAGTGCGAGTCGGAGGCTAAACGGATGCTATTCTATAGGTCTACTATGAAGGATACAAAAAAGATGAAGGGGGAACCCCGTTAAGTCTGTTTCCTTAAGTACCCGAAACGGGCCCGACTCAGTTATTGTCATACTGACATTCGTTGACTCAGTTTGCTATCAAACTCAAGAGCAAACTTAGAAATCTCCTCCTCAAACCTACAAGTCACTATACATATTTTGGCTTGTCACACCAACAACAAGAGCAATACTACTCAACGATTGCTACAACCCTCTATGATTCATTACACGTCATTGCTCCTTAGTTACTGGGCCGATATGACCACATAGCATATCTCTACAACCCTCTATGATTCATTACATGACATCACTCCTTAGTTACTGGGCTAATACTACACATGACATATCTCTATCAACTAGAGGCCTAGGAACATGAACGATAGCTCCAAAAGCTTCTACAACCCTCTATGATTCATTACACGTCATCGCTCCTTAGTTACCCACAAGATTGGTTAAGTTATGACATAATTTGTCTATAGGGGTACTCTGACCTTGGATCTCCTTTTACTTCCTATAGGCTACGAACCTAAGAGATGGTTCTATGGGATTCTCTTACGTCAACTACAGTTACCAAGCCTGGTAAGTCATGGAAAGTCTTGGAAAATGAGAGAACTACACTCCTTTAGCATAAATAGGATTGCCCTTTCCTTAAGAAAGGGCAAGCAGACAATACAGTAAATCGACTATCACATACTTCCACGTCTTTTCCAAGCTTCCAAGCATTCATCTTGTTACTCCTTGTTTCTGAAAAGTCAGTGAGGTGTTAACCTCTGACTTACCCCTGAGTTCCCAGACTCAACATTTGTTGCAACTTGTCTGAACCACTTCACTACATCACACACCTGATTGCTGCGTTGTGGAATAGTCTAAGCTACGACCCTTTGGCTCTGTTTTCTAAGACAGTGTGTTGTCTTAGTAAATTCATCCCTTCCTTGGGTGGCTAGATTCTCACATCTGGTGCACCCACCATTACACTAACCTCTGACTTATCCCTGAGTTCTCAGACTCAACATTTGTACAACTTGTCTAAACCACTCCACTACATCATACACCTGATTGCTGCGTTGTGGAATAGTCTAAGCTACGACCCTTTGGCTCTTTTTCCTAAGACAGTGTGTTGTCTTAGTAAAATCATCCCCTTCCTTGGGTGGCTAGATTCTCACATCTGGTGCACCCACCATTACAATGAAGACCCCTTGGAAAGCCACACCTACAATAGAAGAGAAACACTACTTAGGGACTTAGAACACCAAGCTACCTTTCGCATTTGGGAGCTTGAGGACCTCTCAGTTATAAGCACATGGAGCCAAGCTCAGAGACAGGCTGCACTTCAAATCCAAAAGCAGATGATAGAGGATTATGAACATGTCACCCAGCTTTACAATACTATCCGACAGAAGAGTCAAGAGGAGAAGGGCGACATATGATGACAATATCAGCCAGCTTCAAGAGGTTATCCAAGCTCATGAGCAGACAATGGTCGGGCGAGCCGGAATACTGTAGTCTTTTTGGCTCAGTGGGATGTAGCGCGAGCGTAACCGTACATCATTACAAATACTAGCCGTATACGGCCAGTATTGAGAACTAAATACACACTAGATCCGTATTAGAATTTGAAATACGCACTGACTTAGTATTGCCGTATACGGCCCGTATCGCTAATACTGTTTAATGTACTGCTCTCGTTCAGAGCACTTTTGTTGCCTATGGCCAAGCACACTCTTGAACCTATATCTCTTGCTATCATTGGTATTTGACTCCATCCGGATAAGGGCCCTCTTAAATATGGGTTACTACTCGTTGATCATGTCGCTACTTGCGGCGGACATGTCAATCAATTATGCCTCCTCTTCCTTGAAGGAAAGAACAAAAGAGTCTTCTTTTCAAATGCGGACTCAGTGCGACCACACCAAGAGACAAGTGGTATTTTGAACAGAAGTGTTTTGTGGTGGCTCAACTATTTGTTCCTCACAGGTAAGCGGGTAGCAAGCGAGAGAGAAATGGCGGCGTTAACAGGTCTCAGGATACAAGAAAGTGTTGGTTTTAGAAGATCTTTGTCATTTGGACGAAGAGATAGCCTAGCAGTCCATCACCAACCTCTCCAAATGGGAATCAACGTCACACGTACCAAAGAACAGACTAGTTAAGGCCATCATCTTGTCGGTGCTACACCTATTTACAGCTCCTGTTTTACCCAACCTGCTGGTAATGGGGCTTACTTTCGCCCAGCCATTCCTTGTACGCGCTATGTTAGATTTTATTGCATCGACCTCGGAGTCGAAGGAAGTTGGATACCTAATTGTCGTTGGTTATGGAGTTGTCTATATCAGCAAAGCTATTTGCACTTCATTTGACTTGCACCAGCTTGATAGATTTGCTACCACTCTTCGCGGGTGCTTGGTAAGCATTATTTATAAGAAGACCCCCAGGCTAGATCTAAAGGAGGCTGAAAGGGGTGAAAGCTTAACATAGCATTGGGTCTGCTCTATCGAGAACTTGGTTTGGCGTAGCTTATGCCCTTTTAATATTTGTCAAACCCGCTTGCTAACTATTTCCAGCTTAATTGCACCGCTGGTATTCTCTACAATGTTGTTTTTGGTGTCCAGCCTTGTGGCTCAGCCCCTGATGACTCGACATTGGTTTGGCTAGAAGCAACAGAAGAGAGAGTTGCTCGCATTCGACGCATTGAATTGTTTCTCAAGGCTGAAACGAAAAGAGACAACAGAATGATAATGGAACTGGGGCGCGAAGTCATTGACCCTTCCTTCGGGCACGCCATTCAGCGGCAGACTGAGGATGCAATTGTCATTAGAGATCTCAGCTAAATATACATTTTTATAGTTTACTACTAAATAATCGTTGGTTTCCAAACCACGCCTGGAGGTGGTTGGCGAAAGCGATCCTTGCTGCGAAAGCGATCCTTGCTCTCTCGGCAAACGCGAGCACGTCCAATGCGACATCAGGACAACGCGACTATCTGGACAACAACTGACACGTAAAGTTACAATCATGTCAATTGATATAGCTAGAAACGAAGCTATTCAAAAAGCAATTGATTTCCTAAATCAGAACCCAACGGAGACTATCGCCGCAGCAGCTAGAATCTACCATGTACTCCCAACCACACTCCGTATGCAACGCATGGTGCAACGCCAACCACCAAAGCCTCGCGGAGGTAACAACAGAATACTTTCAGATATACAAGTTATAGCTATACAAAGATACATTCAACGGTCATATGAAAATGGGTACGGTGCAACGAAGCCAATGGTGTTTAATGCTATCTGCCAACTACTAGCAGCTGAAATCCTGACACATCCACCACCGTCTCAACGGTGGTTCCAGACTTGGATTAAGACTCAACATGAGACTTTCCACACCATTAAAACCCGGCCAATTGAAGCAGCACGTGTTGCTTCTCATGATGTATCAGCTATCAAAGAATGGTTTCATGGATTCAAAGATGTGTGTAATCAATTAGATGTTACTGCAGCTAACATCTACAACTTTGATGAAGTTGGGTTCCGAGTGGGAATGAGCACCGGTGAACATGTGTTAGTGCCAACAGCAGTAAAGGAGGTACGTTATATGTACTCATCTTACATTATATTATTCTAATTTGTATAGCTTTATATACAAGCTCCAGAGAATCGTCAAAGTCTCACAGTAATAGAGACAATTTCAGCTGCTGGTATTGTACTTCCACCGTTCCTAATAATTCAAGGAAAGCTTCATATGGAAAGTTGGTACCATGATAATCTACATGGTGATGAGAGAGTTGCAGTATCAGATTCAGGATATACAAACTCTGAGCTCGCAATGGAATATCTACAGCATTTTATTCAACATTCTGCACCCTCTACAAAGACGAAGTTGCTTATAATGGACTCTCACATTTCTCATGAAGTTCCAGAATTTATAATACTTGCACATCAAAACAACATACATTTACATGTATTCCCTTCTCACCTTACACATATACTACAACCTCTTGACGTTACAGTATTTGCACAGTATAAGCATTGGCACCGCCGTGCTATTCAACAAGCAATTCGGAATTTTGATGTTGACTATAATGTTATTTCATTCTTCCGAGACTTACCTACAATCCGAACACAAACGTTTACAAAGGGAAACTGTATGAAAGCGTTTAGAGACTCTGGTATTTGGCCACCAAACTACGAGAAGATAGAAAAGAAAGTGGCAATATACGCAAAACCAGCACTTTTAGAAACACCAAGGCAAGCAATCCAAGCAAGTCAAGATCTTTCAAATTGGAGTCAAAGATTTGAAGAGATTCTTAGTTCACCATCACGGCAAAAGTGGACATCTTCTTATACAGAGATTCAAGTACAGTTAACAGAAAGTACTTTGGTTACCTCAGAGCTTATGCAAATTACTACTATTATGTCTGAGCAAAGACAACGGAAAGTTAGAAGCAGAAAATCTATTCAAAAGGGTGGAGCTGTTACAGTTGAACAAGCACGGAAGAAGATTCATACGAAGATAGTAAAGGAGCAAGAGAGAGAAGAAGCAAGAGAGAGAAGAGAGAGAAAGCGCATGGTTAACCTCGAGTATAAGCTGCAGCTCCGTGCTGGCATTGATGCACGGAGAGCGGAACGGGTACGGAAAAGGGAATTACTTGAATTCCAAAGGAGTAACCCAGACACCGAGCTACCAAGGGAGTTACTCGAAGTAATCATAGACCCTGATATTGAGCGTAGGAGACAGGAGGAAGAGGAGGAGAAGGAGGAGCAGTTGCACTGGCAATTGGCCGCTGAAGAAAGTGGTTTTGTTGACTTTGCAGACCTTGACTACGACATGATCCACAGTGCAAGTGACAGTGTAAGTGATAATCAATCACTGCCCGACAATATAGATCCTAACCTATTTAATTAATCAATTATATCTACGTTCATTGCTGTTTGTTGTCCAGATAGTCGCGTTGTCCTGATGTCGCATTGGACGCGCTCGCGTTTGCCGAGAGAGCAAGGATCGCTTTCGCAGCAAGGATCGCTTTCGCCAACCGCCTCCAGGCGGTGGTTTGGAAACCAACGATTAGTTGTTGAGATATTTAGTTACAAAATTCATGATTTTGGGTGTAAAATGGGGTGGCTCACTCGCTTGTGAAATACGTTATATACATCATAATATTAGCGGGATACGGAAACCATTCCCTAGACTCCCTGGTCCCACGAGTTCTTTTCCGTGGTGATCGTGCCGCAACTACTACTACAGCCCTTCATTTCCAAGCTCGCAGCCCTATCAGCGGGGCTAGTTTCCGTAACCCATGACCTCTGCACTCGAATAACGTTATCTGCCGCCGTCAACCCTTCGCCGCCTTCGCCGCCTTGGCTGTGAAGCTCGAACCTGTTACTGCTATGCCGCATTTTGCTGGCGAGCTTCACATTTATCGACTTGGCCCAGCCGGGCGTGGTGGGGGTGCGTGTTGATTCGCTTATTGCCGTAGATGGGAACGATTTGGGTAAGATTTTTACAATGAGTGGGCGGAGGCATATGAGACTCGAGCAGATGATTGCAGTGAATGATTCGAGAATACTCCATATAACAGGGTTGACGTTGGCATCTGTTGGGAAATTAGCGACACAACTACATTGGCATTTGGGGGAGTCAACATACAAGTCACGTCAATAGTCGTGCCATACGAGACAATATATTTGAGACGAATAATGGAAGTGATGGAAGCGCTACATTTCTCATGTCAGCAAATGTACCGCGAAGACCGGATGGAGTATACTTACAAAGATCCGAGGGCAAACATGAAACCCAAAATGAGCCTCTTCTTCAGGCTCAGTGTCAAGCCATGCAACTCGTAAACTGGGAGGAACATGATAACGATGTCCTCAAAAATGCTCACTGCAGCACCCACATACGCAAATGCTTGCTGATCCGCGCACTTTCCAATCACCGACTGGTCCCATGAGGCTGTGACGGGTATGCACTGGAAGACGATGACGCAGACAAAAATAATGGTGCGGCAAGCCATCCACACAAGTGCTATGTGTATGATACGGCGAAACTGTCTGTTGGGGAAAATCCGGAGGTATAAAAAAAGAATAGAGACCTTTGCCAGGCCTTGTACAAGAAGATAGAGTATTTGGGAAATGTAGAAGAGCTATGCTAATAAGCTGGTGGTTGTGTAAAGGGGCGGGGGAGGAATCGTACCTTCCTAAGTATTATGACATTTTTGGGGTCAACGTCCCAGAGGTGCCTTCCGAAGCCGAGTGTAGCAACTAAAGTCATTAGTTTCAACGTGGAACTGGTACGCATCAAGGAGGGTCATACTGTAAATTGGAATAACAACCATCGGAACCATCAGGACCTGCCCAAGTTCGTTAATAAAGGTATCGGCAGATTGTATTTCGGGGGTTCTTACAGCTGCAACCACGACTGCCCAATCGTCTAACCATAATCTGTTTGATACAAGGCTCCTGGAGAAAAATCTCAGTGCAATAATAGGATAGGTTATTGAGGAGATTATGATAACGTCTCGTATAAGCTCCGCACTCCGTGAAGGTTGTGGGATGTCGTAGCATATTCCATTTTGGAGAATGAGTGTCGCGGCTGCATAAATTAGCCTCAAGCCATAATCAAGTAAAAGACTCGAAGTGAAGGGCTGGGAGTATATACCGGCTTGGTCTTCAACTTTGCATGTTTCCACGACACAGACGGATACTTGTAATTGCAAGTCCGCATTCAAACAAAAGCAATTTCTAACGTCAAGCAGGTCGCACCCGGCTGCCTTTAGCGTTACCACACCGCATTTTTGCTGGGAAGGTGTTAATAAGTTATCAGGAGCAGGAGGTAAAAACAGAGATCTTACAGCACATGGCGGCACCTTCGTGAATGCCTCTACTAACCGCGTGGTCTCAGACTCTGCGACGGCGACATTGAGCAAAGCAGCCGCTATAGATACGAAGATGCCAAGGACGCGCATCTTGCAAAGCTGATGCAGACAGACACAGGTACGACGAAGAAAGAAGGAACAGACATATAGTTCAAATATATTCCATAGCCTTGCCCACCACTGTCCCACAGCGGCCAAGAGCGGGGTGAACAGGGTGAATAGGGGTCGGGACACGCTTGCTATGCTAGGACTACAGTACGAGCACAGACCTGTATGCATACTTATGGTGCCCTACTGTAAATGGCTATGAATGTCCGATCATAATCCATAGCATGTGCCGCGATGTTGATGGCACTCCACAATGCAGGAAGCAATATGTGGGGAATGTGGAGTCCCAAGCATCCTCGCTCCGGGTCTTGGAGTAGCGTGGCGGAGATCTTCTGTATATCTGGATTGGTAAACATGGGAAAAATTGCACAATAATCCACCGCCGAACAACGAACCGACGGGGTGGCATTTAGACAGAGACATATCGGTGATTGGGTCTGTAAGCTTCGATTCGAAGTCTGGTACTCTACTATCCCCCCCCCTGAATGATTGTCACCATCCAGTATTTTGTCAAAAGACCTCTGCCAGTGATCTCATCTTATTTACGTCTTTTTACCTAAACCGATCGCTATAAGTGGGTTTCCACAAACTTCAAAATAGCAGGTCGTTACAATCATTCAGGGGGGGGGATAGTAACTCGGCTGTGGCGTCGATCAGTGGATTTTACAAAAGCAGCTGCAAAATTGGGCACAGGGCTAAGCCAATAGTGCAGGGCAAGGCCGGAGAAGGAGAGACATGGGTTGCCCTTCCCATCACGTGATGCCATCTACATACATATTGCCCCTTTTATTATAAACGGAACCCAAAAATTCCATTAAAGTAAATACAACGTCTAATTATTACAGTACTATGACCTATGACTATGATAACTAGATTGTGGGCTTGATTCGCCCATTTCTCCCGTACATACATACTCGCGACATTGAGGTGTACGGTCATTAATTAGCCTTAACGTAAGGAGCACTAAATACTAAATATTAGCATACCGTGTTACCGTTGGTCATGGGAGGGATTCGGACAGGCTTAGGATACCGGGGGCGCCCCCAAGCATCACCCTAATGATTTTGCGATCCCATCGGCACTTAGCAGGGGGTCAATCGATAATCGATTTTAGACTTGTATTTAGAACACGTCTACCCCATTCAGTGACGCCTCTCCGTTACGCCTCCCATCCATCCCCTGAACTCCCGCTTAATCAAAAAATTCAATGCCCATCATGCCTCCTCACAGCCAATTCCTCAGACATCCCGCTTGACCAATGCAGGTCCAAACAGATCCTCCCCTTCCTTCTGCACCTTCTCCCTCTCCAGCTTCCGCTTCTTCGCCTTCCGCAACTCTTCCTCCCCATCCCCATCCCGCTTGGCCCTCCGCAGCCCCACCAGATCCGCCTTCTCCGGATCCCTGCACCGATTCAGCTTTTTCGCCAGCCCCTTGAGCTCTCGCATCTCCGCCTCCCCTGGCTGCGAATCAGGCGGTACTGCAACTAGCATATCGGCACAGACACGAAGTGTCTCCATCACGCGCTCGAGAAGTGGGGCAGATGGCAACTTGACTGTCATAAACCACCTTGTCAGCTCCGCATCCGCGAGTAATAACGATCCCAGCATGATCTGAGACGGTGTGAAGTGGAAATACGCATCAGTGAGCAGGGCGGATGTCTTGAGACGTTCGCGCGCGTTGCCGTGAGCATCGCGCACCCGCGCCGCTACATCGCCCAGCTCGGGTGGTATTTCTGCATTGTCTATGCCTGGAAGCACAGGCGCGGAGCCGTTGGCAAGGGCCTGTAGCTCCATGGCTGCGCCCTCGAGGGCGCGGAAGGGATGGCGCACGTCGAATGTGAAGCGCAGGGCTTGGGTGAGGAGGAACTCGGAGGCGAGGACGTCTTCGGGCGTCGTCTTGCCAATCGCGTCGGCGAATTTGGTGAGACGGTAGTAGTGGTTCTCGGTCTTTGTGGCGAGGAAGAGGCAGGTCTTGAGGATTGCTGCTGGGGGGTAGGTCATCGTGCTGTTGGTAAGGTAGAAGCGCTTGAGGTATTGGATTGCCGTTGCCTGGTGGGGTCAGTATTGGAGTGCTCGATGGGACAGGTTGGTGGGGTTGAGGGGGCTTACAATACCTTGACGTCTGTGGGTAGGTTGAGGTGGTCGCCGAGCTGGAGAGCTTGCTGGCAGAAGAAGCGTACGAGCTTCAACTCCTCATCTGAAGTGAGAAAGTTTACCTCGCTGGCTGCAGTGACAGCTGGAGTGCCACTACGCTCAGCTTCGCTCGTTTCGGAGCTGGCATTTTGTGATGTTGACGCCGCACGACTGGCCTGAACCCGGGCAATAGCTGCTCTAACTCGCTCTATTGCTAACTTGTTTGTCTTTGAGCGCAGATCTGCCAATCCAGCAGGAGTATAGGACCAGTACCTGTACTGGCTAGAGGTACGGTAGCGATCATCTTCATTCATATTCGCTTCGTGGCATTGTCTGGCATATGCTTCTGATGGAGAGAGGAATTTGGTGATGCGAGGAAGACGGCGGATCAACGTTTATCCGGCGAGGCTGTGGTTTGCTGTGGAAGGACTATCACAGGGAAAGCATAAATACCGTTACGTAGATAAATTAACATGTGACTGGTAGCAAGTAGAGATGAGGTTTCAGTTCCAGCGCGGAAACTAAATAAAAGGCACTTTATGTTTAGTTTCATATCATTGGGTATTCCTAAACTTCATGTCCGATGCGACCCCCAGCCCACCCTTGTAAACTCTACGCCGATGACCCGTTACGAAGGAAGTGCCACAACCTGGCTGACAAGTTCAACGCAACACCAAATCCAGCGACGATCGTAAACACCTTGAACACTTCATACCAATGCGCTGGCTTCATTTCCGTCTCGATAAAGCCCTTGATGGCCACTGTAGACCCCTCGGAATCCTTTGTCTTGGACTCTAGGTCCTGGGATGCAGGGAATCGTCCGGTGCTAACATATTCTTCGAGAAACGCATCCTTCTCAATCCAGCATTCTCGTATCCACACATCGAATTCCTCCGCATCATCAAGAGGAATATCGGAGAGCGCAAATCGACGCCAATACATGTTCACGGACTTTGGTGGCCTCCCTTCAAAGTAGCTGGACCGAAGAGTGAAGTAGTCTTGGCCAAACTGCCCGCGGCTATCGAATAATTAGCGGCCGACAATTATAGGAGGTGATGACAATACTTACGCAATACCTTCATATGCCAGAGTGCAGTCGTATACATAATCAACTGTACCCTTAAGCTCGTTCAAGCAGAAGAAAGACCCAGTGCTTCGAGGCAACATCTGATGCTGGAGGTCTTGAAGGCCTTGCTTTGCTGCCCATTTCGCACTGTTGATTCTCCCATTGTCGCTCAGATTAGTTCCCTCGGGGAAGAGCATGAGCCACATTGGTCTAAGAAGTTTCGTGCCGGGAATAGGTGTTTTTAGCTTTCCGAGCCTGTACGCCATCCTAGCCTTGTCCTTGGACCATTTCCGTGACATGAAGATGAAGTTAAAAAGAACCATGCCTTGTCCGAGGAGGGGAATATACTTTATGGTCTCCTTCAAGATAATGTAAACGTGACCAGACATCCTTGGTCTGTTGGCATATCCAATCCACCAAAGGTATATCCAGTCAGAGTAGAGCTGCAATGAGTTAGTAATGTCAGCTCTCGGATATATCAATTAACGTACCTGGTGATTGGCAATCAATACTATCCTTTCGGGGAAATTGCACTCAAGCCTGCCATCTGGTAATTGACGAAGCTGGCCCCTGACGCTCTCATCGCCGCTTATTCTGATAACAGTTGGACTCCACCACTTCGTCATACATGTGATGGTAGTGCCGAAAGCCTCCTTTGCCAGAGCTATGTTTTTGTAATACCACTCTCTCTTAATCCAGTACAGTGGGATCCCCACGAACTCTGAAAGGGCAATTCTAATGGCTATCAATACTGGTAATCACGTGCAGTTGGGGTAGGACGTACGTGCAAGCGCAGGACCAGAAGTACGTCATGAAGAGGACGAATCGAATAAACTGCTTCGGGCCTCCGTGGACAATTTCACCAGAAGGATGGTGGTCATTTTGCGCAACTTCGGTGCTGCCTCCGCCGAGATCTGGCATAGGAGCCGGCATCTTCGGCCGGCTCTTGATACGGGAAGCGCTCATGGTTTTTTGTTACCGAAGAAGCTCGTACGACGTCCTTCACTTTGCTTGCCAGTCTAGGAGACAGGGGTGAATGAGAGGCAGCTTTGCTGAAATATATACGTGGCGGGGTGGTTTGTTCGGTGAGGCTGTAGCCTATTTTCTTTGGCCACCGCGGGATGTCCCGTTCGGCCCTGTATGTAGTACCTTTGATTAGAAATATCAAAGGATCAAATTCTAGCCGTAGAATGCAATACAATTATCCATGGCGAGCAATAAAGCAACAGCACAGTTACGTTGGCGTTGTGAATATGTATTGGCGATGTAATGGCAACCCGAAGAACGGAACTTGTCAAATCGGATCCAGTTGATTTGTCCTTTGTGACGCAAGGCTGCAGCGTCGGGGAGAGCACGGACCGAGCTGCAGCTAGCTAGCTATGTTGTACCTACGGCGGACACATCTCCAAAGAACCTCATCACCAACTCATACTAGCTTTCTAACCTCTACCATGCTTTATATCTCGGGATCGGTCGAGTTGAATGAGTAGCAACGATGCCTAGTGTTTGTTTACCGGAACCTATAACTCGATTAACTCAACTGTAGGCTCAAGATGCTGCTGCGACATTGGCGACCTCGAAGCGCCCCGACGTCTTGCCTGCGACTATTCTCTCAGTCAAGTCGAAGGCAGGAAATCCGTGATCTCGCTCAATTGCCAGATCGAATTATTCCCAAATACCTTGAGAGTCAACAAAGCGACCTCCTCTCCTTGCAGTGGCCCTCTCCGCCACGAAACATACTCTTCGTCAAGAAAGATGGTGCCCCGGCCGTGACGGAGTCGATGATAGAGTACGCGAATTATATACATCAAAATTACGAAAATGTGTCTCTCATATTCGAACCGCATGTCGCAACATCTGTCCAGTCATCCATACCGTTTCCGATCTACACGACCTCTGACAGCTCTGTTCTCTCGAAAAAGGCCGATATGACAACCACCCTGGGCGGCGATGGTACAATTCTACATGCCTCCGCCCTCTTTTCCACAACAACCCATGTTCCACCACTCCTATCTTTTAGCATGGGTACGCTTGGGTTCTTGGGCGAATGGAAATTCGAGGAATTTAAACGCGCCTTCCGTGAAGTCTACATGTCAGGCGCAGCAGCCGGTTCGCACCTCTTCCAGGACCAGCAGCACCCGCACGTTCAAGACATAGCCGGCGGCGAGACAGGAGATGTGACCGGCTGGTCATCTATACGGGGAAAATCTATGGGAACATCCAGGTTATCAAAGGTCCTGTTGAGGAACAGGCTGAAAGTAGGCGTATTTGATGCGAATGGGCAGAAAGTCAATAGCGATGGCACGGTGGAGAGCGAAGTGCGCGATATCCACGCCATGAACGAGGTTATCATCCACAGAGGTGCAAACCCTCACATGGCAATCATCGAGATCTTCGTTGGTGGAAGATTTTTAACTGAAGCAGTGGCGGATGGGATGATCATTGCCACACCGACGGGATCCACAGCATACAGTCTCTCGAGTGGGGGTAGCATTATTCACCCCCTCGTGAGTAGCCTGCTCATGACACCTATTTGTCCGAGAAGCCTCAGTTTCCGACCACTTGTCTTACCTGCAAATACGCCACTGACGCTGCGATTAAGCGAGAAAAACCGTGGTCGAGAGTTGGAGGTTAGCATCGATGGAAAGCGTAGCAGCATGGGAGTTGCCTGTGGCATGGAAATTCGGGTTCTAGGGGAGGATATTAAGCGCCCAGATGGAGCCTGGTCTGGTGGCGTACCATGCGTGATGCGGGGGACAAAGAGCGGGATGAAGCATGATGATGGGTGGGTTGGGGGGCTGAACGGGCTGCTGAAATTCAACCATCCGTTCGGCGAGGGATAGAGGATTATTACACAACCATGGGAGTCAAGAGACGGGAATACTCTGGCGTTAGAACTACCAGGCGCAGTTCAGACTACCTTGCGAGGTATCTGTGAACGCCAATGAGAAAAGGCCGATCTATTGGAAGTTATATCATATAACGGCCTCTCATTATACGGTGCTAGCATTTATAACGCCAATATGCCGAATCTTACCACTGAGGATTATGACTCATTGGTAAAGTCGAAAGGCTACCGCTTATGCCGTGGGAGGAGATCTCCAATTCTGAGCTCACTTGCGAAGTCATAGTATAGCCCATTGCATTGGGGAGATAGGTGTTTCTTTCTTTAACTAAGCAGGGGTTTTGGGGGTTGGATGGGAGGCGCAACGGAGATGAGAAACTCTTAATTATATAATCCTGATAAGTTGTTATAATATTTTACCATATAGAATCTATGTCACCCAAAATTCAAAAAGGGAAAACTAATAATTATTAGTAAAAAAAAACCTTTTTGACCGACCACAATACTATCAACACATTTCTCGCCTCTAATGACCTCGAAAGACAGCACGTCCGAATTACCACACGATTTGCCCACTCGAGCCTTCCTTGTGGTCCCGTCGCCGTAACCGTCAACTGTATTAATAAAATGTTCTCACCTTGTACCTGGAAAAAGACAGAGCTTCTGGGAACCCTAACCGTTATTAAAATTAACATAGTTCTGCGCCCTACAATTTCGCTAATATAGCTCCATCCTGACGGCCTTCCCTGGACCACAGCCCCTGAGAATGGTAATAGGAAGCCAACACTCCATTGCAGAATTTGCTCAGTGTATTGGGCTACTGGGTTGGATCCGACGGCGGAAACATAGGTCGATAGGACCAAGCCCGCGAATGGCGTGTGGCGAACATAATGCCAGAGCTGGGGGCATGGTGACTTAAACACTGGCTGAAAGCTCTCAAGACGATGTTAGAATGCTCGGCCTCTATGTTGATAGTGTAGCTTATTCTGCCCCAGCAGTTCTCACAGAAGGCAGGGTGGGAGGTTTGTTTGACGTAAATCGGTGGAAAGTGGAGCTTGTAAGAAAGTTAACAGTAGCAACTTCGGATAGAAAGTTATTAAGTTGGGGAGGGGTGTACCTGGAGGCCTTGGGTTGCAAGATACAACATCGTGCTCGTTATTCTTGCGTCTTGTGTGGCTCTGAAGCGGCTTAAGGTCATGAAGTTGAATCTGAACCACAGGACCTCTGGCGGGATCAACGACGTCGCAACTCATATCTGTAGGATTTTGTGGATTTCCCAAACGTTAACTTTGCCTTCAAGGATAACGTTAAATAATTAGATTTTAATAAAGCATGCCATCCGTTTAATGTAAATTTAGGAGACTTACTATTATAATATGATCTGATTCATGACACTTGTCTAGGCGACTAGTATGGTATACTAGAGAATACGACTAGATTTCGGAGTGGATCTCTTAATTGCTCTAATAATTTATAGTAGCAATTTAAGCTAATACGATCCCTCTCTTGAGCTCCTTTGCCAAGTACTTATACTACATTATATCAACTAAGTGCAGCTACTATAAGCACTGCTGTCATGTATGGTGTTTGTTTGGACTTTTGGGCGGTATGGGTACTTGTGCGGCCTAAATGTCTGAAGTGATAAGATTAGATCTGAGAACACTCCCAAAGGGAGCAGACCCCTCGCAAGGGCTATGCTCAATCAGAGCCGTGTTTTAGCTCTAGATGAGTTTACAAGCAAGTTAGTACCCCTGAAAACCCTACAATGAGATAGTGACTTATGCTATATCGACATCGACAAAGCTATGCAAGTATCGATTCATTCCATGAATCGATCATCCTTGGAGAAGCGATACATGTACGAAACTCTGCGGTGCACTGCAACCAGGGTGCACAACCTCATGCGAGCAATCGAGCTGCACAGGAATCGATATCATGCGAACAACCCCGATCGCAATCGCCATCAGACGATGGCCCGCAGTCTCGTCTCTCGGATCCCAACAATAGATCCTTATGACGCAACCCTCGACGCGCCCCTTTCCACCAATAACATCGGCGGTATCAAAACCACACCCTCAACAAAAAGCCAGCAATACGTACTCGCAGCGGTCCCATAGAACCTACATGCCTTCCCACGTTTCGTATCCAAGCCAGCCGGAACCGCACTCCCCGGCCACGATGTCACCAGCAGCCATACACGCATCTGCCAACGCATCAGCAAGGTCAAGTGACCACCACACACTTATCGATCAACTAACTATGCACCACGGGCGGTGCGTCAATGCGAGTCACCTTTGCCGTCGAGGCGGTGAGGATCAACGGCCGTGGATTGGGGGGAGGGAAAAAGGGAGCGGGGCTGCTGACGTGAAGAAGTGAGGGCGCTTGCGGACGCGGTAGGGCTGGCGTGGGTGAAGTGGGTAAAGTGGGTGAAGTGACTATGGCCATTGTTGTGGGGTCAGCACGGGGATTCAAGCTGTTCATGAGAGACGGGGACGCGTTTTTTCTTACTGCTTGGGTGCCTCTAGGTGAGTCCCGCATGATGTCCACAGACACGCGACGAAGACACACAGCTGACTCAAGCACACAGGCGATATCTCCGCCAACGGCGGCGGGCTAATCTACCTCTCCGACTCCGTCCCCCTCGGCCGCGCCATCGAAGACGACTTCACCCTTCGCGCAGCCACTTTCACCCGCGCGGGATGGGCTTTGAGGGGGGTTGGTGTCTGGTGGTGGGTGATGCAAGGTTGTAGGAATTGGCTGCTTTGGTTTCCAAACGATGTAGTCAAACATCGTGCGTCGGAGGAGGAGTTCCTTCTTCCAGTCCATGATGTCGCGCACCATCTGGCGCAGGGTCGGGTTGTCGAGGAAGTGAAGATAGCTGTCGAGATGGTGGGAACTGATCAGCGTCTCGACCTCCTTCTCGCTGAGCGGCAGATCGCCGGCGCCGATGCCGCCGTGGTGGAGGGGGTTCTCGGAGGAGTTGAAGATGCCTTCCTGTGGCGAGGTTCCGGGTTCGAGGAGCGCGGTGTCGGCCCAGTTCTGGAAGTAGCTGGTGATATGTGAGTATTTATTTGATGTGGAAAGTGAGAAAATGGAAGAGGGGGGTGAAGGCGTACTGTTTTCGAACATTTAAGACGTCTTCGCGTGGTATAAGGCCTTTCATAAAAATATACCGTCCTCCTTCAGCCTCCTTCGAATCTCAGATATGGGAGTATCTTTCGGAGTGGGACGCAGCCTTTTGAGTATGTTCTGATAACTCCCTGATTCGCTCCAATGCCAGAGGGCACGGCCAAGTCATCTATGTGCTGTTTCCGCAGCAGCAGCTGCCATTATCGAAATCAAGCAAAAGTAAAAATAATTTATAAGAATACTACGGGGGGTTATCAGTTAAGATATTAAAGTTGGAAAAAGATGAACTTTCATGGAAGATATTATAAGTCTAGCACTTGAAGTCACACAGAGGGCCGTATTTCCATGTACTCCGCATTCTTGGACAAACACCGTCCACACCCCTCACGGCAGGAGCTAGCCCGACTATGGCACATCTGCACGACTGCCGTTTCTCCCGCCTGGACCTGGTTGCGATGGATGGCACTGCCGTCTCTCCCTCCCGGTAGCTCAAATGGAGGCACATATTGTATCAAAATAGCAAATCATGCACTAGTAAATTCTCGGCCCCTCTATCTCATCTAAACATACACAAGTACACACCGCACACCCCTCTGCGGCTCCCAACCCCCAACCAGCAAAAAACGCCAGCAAAAATGCTCCCATGCATGTAAAATTAAACGTCTTGCTTTTATCCCCTTTTATCCCCTGCCATGCCCGCCCCATCAGCCCAGAGAAAAAAAAGGTGGACTGCGTCTACCAAGACAAGCACCCAGCGCACTCGCCTTTCTATTACGTACAAACAACACTGCCCCCAGTAGGTCAAGCGGCGCGGCGTCGATCGGATTATATCTCCATATCGTCCATGTCTGCATCGACGTCGCCATCCGCCATAGCCAACCTCTGCTTTGCAGTTTTGGCCTTCTTGCCACCTCCCTTCTTCTTCTCGACCTTGGCTTTCTTTGCCGCGGGGCCGCCCTCGATCGGCGTCGCTGTCCCAGAGGGCTTCGCACTGCCGTCATCAAAGTGTCCTTCGCCTGTAATGATGTATTAGTAACGAAACTCAAACATATTCACCTGCAAAAGGTCTGCAGATGAAAAAAAAGTAGAACGTGACTTACCCTCATGGTACAGCTCCTCCAAGCTCCTCTCCTCAACCTTCTTCTTCCTCCCAGCCTTCTTCGGCTTCGGCTTCCCAGCCTCCACTCCCTCCATCGCAGCCAACTCACGCTCCTTACGCTCGATCTCAGCCGCCTGGTCATCGTCTGCAAGCCACATGGCGATATCCTTCGCCTTGTTCTCGCGAGACCTCGTGTTGAAGTCGACGCCACCGCCAGCGCCACCAGATATGACGACACGCTGGACCTCCTCCTTCTGCAGCGCGCGCTTGCGGATTCGCTCTTCGATCGTCCCGCGCGTGATCATACGGTACACAGTAACTTGTCGGGTCTGGCCCAGTCTGTGAGCGCGATCCATGGCCTGAGAGTCGATGGTGGGGTTCCAATCGGAGTCGTAGAAAATAACGGTGTCGGCGCTGGTAAGGTTAATACCGAGACCACCAGCACGCGTGGAGAGCAGGAAGATGAAGATCTCGGGACGGGTTTGGAAATCGTGCACAGTGTCGCGACGGTCTTCGAGCTTGGTGGAACCATCCAGGCGGAGATACTTGTAGTTTCGATAGGTGAGGTACTCCTCCATGAGATCGATCATGCGTGTCATTTGGAAGTAGAGAAGAACACGGTGGCCGCCTTCCTTGAGCTTGAACAAGAGACTGTCTAACTTCGCAAGCTTTCCGGAGTCAGTGACGAAGCGACTCATGGATGGGACAAGAATATTGGTAAATCGTTGTTTCTCAGACGATGGCGTGGGCAACATCATCGGTTGTGGGAACACTTGCAATGGCATCTTGGACTCGACAAGGGACGTCTCGTCTCGGCTCGAAGGTCCGTACAGGGCCTTGCGCATCGGGATGTTGAAGAGAGTATTCTCCGTCTCAATGACAGCGCCGCGACTTGAACAGCTGACCTGAATCGGTGGTGCTGATGCAGCAGGGCGTCCACACTGTTCCATTCGTGGCATGCCCGAATTGGCAAACACGTCCTTCGAAACGTTGAACAGCTTTCCGATGTAGCCCTCAGTAACCTCGGCCAGTGGCCTTCTATCATTGCGGTCTACAATGCGTAGCATAGATTCGACAGGAGTGTACTCGTTCTCGTCATAGATGACATTGGCCCGACCTAGATTATTACGCTTCTTTGCCAAATCAACGGCGCGAACAAACAGGTCATCGGTCGCGAGGCTTAACTCATTGCTTGGGCATCCTGCCAATCGTTCCCATGAGAAGGCCTTGCTTTGGATGGTGTTGGTAGGCTTCCAAATATTCAACTCATGGTCGATCCACTTCTGGCGGAAGCCGGCCTTCGCATTGTCTGTGCCTGGCATATCGAGCCTGCCGCCGTTACGCCAAATCAATCGCGGCAACGCGTACTCGATCAAGTTCCTCGTGGAGTATACAACATTGATGAGTGGGCCTTCGCGCATAAACGAGCCAGTCTCTGCGAAGAAGCCGAACGAGAATGGAGATGTAGTTTCGGCGCGCTCAAAGAGATCTGGATGGTTGCAGACCTTTCGGAATTGCATGACCAAGTTCATCAACGTCCCTGCATCTCCTTCGTCTCCGATGGTGGCCTTTTCGATCAGGTCCATGATGCTGATCTGGTTGCGGAGGTTCGAGTAATATGCTCTCTGGCGATACGTCAGGTCACAGAAAATGTCCAACTCGATCTTGTCGCCGAGCTCCTTTTGCACGTGCTTCTTCACACGACGTAACATGAATGGCTTCAAAATCATATGCAGACGCTTCAGCTGGTCTTCGTTGAGCTTCGTATTACTCTGCGCGTGACTCTCGATATCCTTGGAGAACCACTCGCTAAACTCGTCGTGAGAATCGAACAAACTAGGCATGATGAAATGCAGCAAAGCCCACAACTCTTGCATGTTGTTCTGGATAGGGGTACCAGTCAGCAGCAGGCGGTTACGGCAGTGGAACCCCAGAAGACTCTTCCATCTCGAACTTTGCGAGCTCTTGATAGCTTGAGCTTCATCCAGAATCATGTACTGCCATCTCATCTTCTGGAAGTACGCAACATCTGAAACCACCAGTTGGTAAGAGGTGATAAGAACATGGAACGGCGCATCTTCAGTATAGGTGATGTGCTTTCGGTCCCAGAACTTGCGGAGAACCTTGCGGTCAGCAGCAGTACCCCAGTAAGGAAGAACCTTGAGCTTGGGCACGAATTTTGTGATTTCTTGCTGCCAGTTGTGGAGAGTGGAGGCTGGGGCGACAACCAAGAACGGTCCCCAAATTCCATGCTTCTCGGCAAGGTACGCCATGACAGAGATAGACTGGATAGTCTTGCCCAGACCCATCTCATCGGCAAGAATACCATTGATACCTTGCTCGTATAGATTGACAAGCCAGTTAAGGCCCTTCAGCTGATACTCCTTCAGTTGAGCATGAAGCATCTTTGGCTGCTCGATATCAACATCACCCATTCCTGCCGGGTTCTGGAAGTTCAATTCACCCTCCTCATCCATAGCGGGCTCTGGGTTATTGAACGCTCGAGCTTTGTTCTGCGCCTCCTGGATTGCGTTTTGAGCATTGGCCATTGCTGCAGCAGTGAGCACCGACTCGTCCTCGGCATCGAAGTCAAGGTCCTCGAAATTCGTAACCTTTCCGGCAACGCCGCCGCTCTGGTCAGGGACATTGATCTTGTGGGTGTGTCCCTGAGCATCCTTGACAACAGCAACGTCGGGGTGGTCAGTCGAGCGTTCCACCTCATCAGTCTTGATCTTCTTGCCAATGAAATGGGAGTACAGCTCCGTCTGTGATATAAGGAAGTTGAGCTTCCTCTTCTGGCGGTTCGCTTCACGGTCGGCTTCGGCCTTCTTCGCATTTTCAATTTCTTGCTTCTCGGCCTGTCTTCTGAGATCACGCTCCTCGCGCTCGTTGCGCTTCCAGAAAGACATCATCTCTCGCATGACGCGCTTGGCACGCGCTTGGAGATCCTTGGTGCCCTTGTTGGTGCGCATCTGCCATCTCTTGGCCTCCTTGGAGGCAAGAATAGCGGTCTTCTTCAAATTCGAAGCCTTGACGCTCTGAGAATCGGTAACGATCTTAGAAACCTTGGTGATGTCCTTCTTTGCAATGTCTTTCCAAATCTGATCGTAAATTTGATTGTATGTTTTTGAAACAAAGGGCTCAGTGGCTGCCGGTGACTCTTCCCGGGGCTCCTCCATGGACTTTGGTCCCAGCTTAAGTCGGATTTTCGGCTCGCTCGGTGGCGGTGGTGCAGGCTCCTCGCCGGCATCAATCGCAGCTTGGGCAGCGACAGCAGAGTCTTTCTCGGCCTGCTTTTGCTCCTTCGACTTCCGCAAGCGAGCACCACCACGGCCCTTGCCTTTGCCTTTCCCGGTCTCTGGCTCGGCAGCGAATGTAGTCATAGTGCCTCCCGAGAAATTTGGCTCAATCGGCGATACTGTTCGGATTTCCGGGCCCTTGTCGCCACGCGCAAGTATAATCTTTGTGTGCTGAGCCTTCTTCTCCGCGCGTTCGGCTTCCTTGAGTAGCTTCTTTCTTTCATTATCATCAGCAGTTTGCTGAGCTTTCTTCAAAAGCGCCTCCTTCTGCTCAAGGTTCGTTGCGACGGTCTTCTCCCGACGACGCTTCCGTTGCATATCCTTCTTGCGCTCTTTTTCGGCCAGGACCTCTATCTCCTGAACCGATGCGACTGCGTCCTCGCCATGTATTTCCCGATATCGCTTTTCGCCGGTTTCTGCGTGCTTCATGAGCTTAGTAGTCATGTCGTCGACATACTTTCTCCGGCGTATCTTCCGTCGCCTCTCTTCCCCTTCGTCGAGCTCAACCCTGCGTTTGAGGCACCGAGCCTTGAATAGCCACATTTCATCTTCGAATTCGGAAGTCTCGAGATCGCTGGCATTCGCATCGATTTCGGCCAATATAACTTGTATCTCCTCCTCTTGTTCGGCCACGGATTTCTTGGCCTTGAGGCTTCCGTTTGCTTGTCGCTTTGCCGGGACGCGAGATGAAGAGACGGGTGTCGTGGCGTGAAGTGGCGGCCGACGCGACTCTTCTTTGATGGGGGTCTCGTCAGCTGGGGGAGGCGGCGGTATTGATGCTCGAGACGATTTCCTGGGCATCTTTGCAGGAGGTGGCGATGAGGGCACGGAAGGAGTAGGAGCAGCAGGAGCTGATTCGGTAAGGATGCTGGAGAAGGACATCGGATCTGTAGTTC